ATTTTTGGTGATAATAGGTCGAAAAATATTATTAGATCGATGTCCGAGGGTTCTTGTCAATGTTCCCTAAGGGCATAGAAAAAAAAAGTATAAAATTTTAACAGTTTTATATTGTATGTATAAGATAAGTTGGTTTGAGATTGCAGCCGTTTGAAGTACACTAAAATAAATTTGTGTCGGAGTTTCAATCCTTCATCAGACTGTCCTTCAAACGAATTTAGAGGAATAGCCAATTCTCTCTCACAAACATGAAAGCCTGAAACTTATACAAAGAAAATAAACATAATTTATTTTCCTGAAGGCTACTCGTCCGAATTCCATTGAACGAGCACTCTTGACGAAGTCCTGAAACTTAGGCCGAAACGTAAGCAGGAAGAAAATAAGTAGAATTTATTAATATATTATGGTTTTCTGGCGTTAATCAATTTCATGGATTTTGTATTTTTTTTTTAATGTAAGAAGTACATATTGCTGATAGTATTAAACTAATTAAAATTTATAATAATCAACAAAAACCAAAAGACGCTACCATTAAAGTAATTTTTTCATGGAAAAACGATTCAGATTCGTTTTTAGTCTACTCTAAGATTCATAAATACGAATTTGTTTTGAAATGAAACAATATGAATTTTTGACTTGATTTTATGGGAGAAAGTTTTTCATGGAGTTTACGAAAGTACTCAAAACTACACGGGATTTTTTCTTAATTAAAAGTTACTACAAAAGTCGAAAAGCTGAATTAATTTTCTTTCAAAACATATAAATAACTTCTAAATTTTACGCCTTTATAAGTTATAAAGAAAGAAAACCTTTTTATAAACACTGACCACTGCTGTTAGTTAAATAAAAGTCAATATAATCAACTGGGATTTTTTAAGTTAAAAACTATGAACAAGGTGTTGGAAGTTATACTTCGAAAAAACACATTAATAGGGGTGGATTAGTAAAAAACTTGCATTTTTTATGTAATGGTTTATCATAAGAACCAGAGTCAATCCAAACATTTTTTTTTTTGTATCCCTGTGTTATAGTCGATATAGTTTTGAACAGCAATAATTTAGTTTTCCAATGGTTGTAGTAAGATTTAGAAGGAAATCCTAAGGAGTTTTAGTAAAACGGCATGAAAGAGAATCAAGAAAATCAAGTCCAAAAATTTATATATTTTTATTTCAGAAAAAAATCGTATTTAAGAGTTTAAAGGGCAATAGCAATTAATCTGAATTGTTTTGTCATGAAAATAATTTACTTGGCCCATTTTAATGGAAGTGCCTTTTGGTCTTTGTAATTTATTTTACATTTGAATTAGTTTAATATAATCAGGAATATGTTCTTTTTATTTTACACAAAAACAATCAATTGTTATAATATAATCTAGAAATCCATGCAGAACAAAGGCAGAAACCATTATATAAAAAATCTAGAAATTTAACATAGCAAGGACACTTCTTCTCACATTGGCAAGGACCCTTGGGCGTTGGTCTAACATTTTACGACCTAGTATCACCAAAAAAGGTTTTATTGAATTCAGTGACCCATGTCTGTTGTCTCCTCTTGTTAGTTTTTTGAACATAATGGTCCTTAGAATATATGATTCACTAAAAAAACAAATTCGAAATTTTCCATTATTATTTGTTTGGCTGAAAATCGAGTTCAATTAGAATGAACAGCTAGAGAAAGTTCTACCAATTTAGCTGCTGACAAGAATAATTGGCTTCAAAAGAGTATGTTTGACCAAGAATACCTTAAGATTCACAAATAAATTTAATTTTTTTATAACAGCACACAAAATCAATAAAAGTCTTCACAATATAACATTTTTTGAGAAAAAAGAAATGACAGGAAGAGTCGAATTAGAAATGTTATCCTTTGTTGATGGATAAAAAAAAACACTTCTCCCCACGGGCGATATAAAAAACAATCTAGAAAAATTATATTAATACTACTCTATTATTTTAAAATACCTAGCTGAATGATCTTATAACTGTAAATACTGCAAAAACCTGTCCGCCAACAGTAAAAGGTTTAACAAACATTTTAAAATGTGAAGGAGATCGATCTTCTATTGGGTGTTACAAACTCCTTAAAAGAAATCAGGGATCATTGAGAAAAGAAGTCCAGTATCAAGTTTACAAGATAAGTCAGATGAAAGAAAAAAAAATTGTGATGAATTAAGATCAGTATGGTCTGAATCAGTGAAAGACCTGACAATCAACGAAGATAGCACCAATGAACTTTTGAGGGCATAGGAAATAAATTCTTCATTGAAAGAAGGCAGATGTTTAACATAGTAGACGTGAGGTTTCTGGTAAAATATTTTAGTGCGTGTAGTACATGGATCACTAAAAAAACATAAACTAATAAAAATATTTTAAAGGAATTTCGATATTTTGTTTCACTTTTTATGTATTAACACATATAGGGAACTTATAATTAGTTACATATTGAATAAAAATTAGTTAAAAAACTCACAATTGGTTACAAGTAAAAGAAATTAGTTTCTTATTGAATTTTGGTTGATTATGGTATAATGTTGAGGAAAGAGATGGTCCGGGTTGGCAGTCATAAAAAACATAAAATAGTGAAAACTATTTAAAAGTTTTTTTAATCCTGCCACCCTGGACCACCTCTTTTCTCAACATTATACCATGATTAACCATTGAGAATTCAATAAGAAACTAATTTCTCGTTTACTTGTAACCAATTATAAGTTTCTTAGATGTATTAATACTTAAAAAGTGAAACAAACTATTAAAACTCCTTTAAAATATTTTCATTATCAGCTCCAGATAAATATTCCTTCATTATTGATTAATGGCATAAAACTATATAGGTCATAAGTGTTTTTTTTTTCTTTTCTATTTTACTAAAACCTTAGTTCTAATAAACTACTCTCCATTCGATACCAGATTTATGACATCTAACATGATTTTTAAAAAACTGAGGATTAATTATCTTAAAGTTGTTAGCTTGCTTGGTGGGCTTTCATCTTACATATATTTCCGAATATCTTTAGGTTGTTTTCTTTGTTTAATTCTGATGGAGTTTAAGTTCCTTTAATCCATCCAGAGATTGGGAGCTCTTCTTCTGCAGCCCAATCAGGTAGTTTCTTTCCCATAATTACTATGAGAACTATACAAATTTAACTGACATCCATATCTAATGTTAATATTTGACATTAATAAAAACAAATAAAGAAATAAATGATACATATGACCATTTAAAATAGTTTAACTGCAATAAATAAAACCATTAATAATATTATGTGATAATAATTGAATTCAATCAAAAAATAATATTTCATTATTGATAGGAAAATCATAATTTTACTGATGAAGTTGGTTATGTATTTATACTAACATTATTTAAGAATATGAAATATGAATTATTCAAATTGTTATACAATCTTTTTTTTTTTAATAAAAAAAATGAAAATAAATATTTCTAAAATAATCAATGCACAACTCTAAAATATAATCTGGCCCTTGGAGAATAACTGTACCCTATTCTTTTAAAAGGCATATCCAATGTGAACCCATGAGATGTAGGTACTGCGTGAAGTTACTGGGCAGAACCTATACCTATGAGCATTCACCAAGTTTAACAGAAATATCAGGAAAATTCAACTATCAAACCACCTGAAAGAAACTGATTCTTACCAAATCAAACACTAGGGGACAATCCAAGTTTTTGGACTTGAATATAAAAGGTAAAATGGCTCTTTCATATAGGTAAGGTAACAAGGCAGCTAATAAAAAGCTTTGAGTGAACCATGAGTACTCGAACAAATGTTGTTTTATAAGATGTCTTGTGATTATGGACGCCATGAGGATCACCCATACTGTTGCAATGTAGATTGGTTGATACACAACCTCTTAACAACGCATTTTCCAGTCTGCAGATTGGAAAATGTTGAAATGCAAATTGTGCCACAAAAAAAGGAGCACTAAAACATACAACCTATCGACTAAACAAGATTTAGGGGGTTGGAACTTGGAGGATGAATGACTCTTGAATCAATATTTCTTTTCCATTGGAAAGATTTCCTGTCTTTAAGGCTGAGATTCTGACAATATGTGTCTTTATATAAGTTTTCTGCAAATGGACTGAGGGAAAGGGATGAATTAAGACATAAGAAAAATATAAGATAGGAGGTAAAACATTGAATTAATACTCAACTCAATCAATAATAGAATAGATCTCCAAGAATAATCCTAAATGAAAATTTGTCTTAAGAGAACTAATGAATTATACAAAAAAAAAAAGAAAAAATGTAAGTACATCACTAAAATAAGAAAATACAAAGGAAATAAAAGTGTTTTTTTTTTTTTTTTAAATAGAAACAAATTTTTATTATATTAAATGCTTATAAATGTTATTTTTTAGGGCAATGACCTGAGCCCCAAGCCCATATTTTATACAAAAATAATTCATGCTTCATCTGGTCATAGTTGGGTGGGATTAGATATTATTTAGATATAATAAATAAACATTATTAAAGATATAACAGCCTTTAAAGTTATCTTCAACAGTGTACACATATAGATAATATAATGATATAAATGCTGCAATTTGTTTGTAAAAGGTTGCTCTATTAGTTAACAAATGGTGGTAATGTTGCTTAATACATAGATAGCTCAAATAAATTTTGAAATTGAACGCTAGATAAAATCATGATAATTTGTACTGTAATGAATGTCTGTTAATATCAATAAATTTACCAACATTTATAATCGTGTATTCCAGTAACCTAACTAAGAGCTTCAAGAAACAGAGACTGTGCCATACAATAAAATCACTTACAATACAATAGATACATTTATCACTTTGAAAACCCTAGGAAGAGAATTTTAATGCCTAAATATAAATCACAGAATTTTACAATAAGAAATTGAAAAAAAAAAATTATAAAATTTACGATCACCATGTAAATGAAATACATTATTTAAAAATAAAAACTTAAAAAAAAATATTCTTAATAATTATGTTTTCGAAATTCACAGGAAAAATCAGTCGAAGATACATGTGTGGGCTATTGAGGAGGTGCATACATACACTTAGCCACGAAAACAATAAAAAGTCTAATGCTCAAAATCGGCTTCTCTTATTAAAATGTATGATAGTGATTATAATGTATTTAAGAGAGCCAATGTGAGTAAGAATAATTAAAATTAATCAGCATTAATTTCTATTTTTTTTTTTTTTTTTTTTTTTTTTGTACTTACATGCTTTGTGACTCCTAAAACAACATGAAATAACTTAAAGTTAATACACTATTTGTTCAATAAAATTGTTCTGTGTCATACATTTGTTCTAATTAACAAGCCTTACACATGAATATTTATTTATAATGACGAACTGGAGTCAACTTAGGCATCAGACTGAAGAAGTGTAAAATACATTACCATTTCTGAATAATAATAGTATTAAATAATTCTATGATTAATAGAACATGACCAAGAGAGTTACCAATAAAACATAACTTAGAAAATTAAAAACTTAACTAATCAATATTTTAAGTTACTAACCAGTGGCACTAAGAATATTATTTTAGAAAATTTAAATAAAATAATAAATCACATTAGAATAATATTAGGACTACATTATCATAATATTAGGACAATAACAATTTGATATCACTTCAACAACCCAAGACAATTGAAATACTGACTTAAATGTTTAAAATTTTACAAGAAGTATAACTATAAAATAGTAACATTTTGTAAGAACACAAAAACTAAATAATGATTTTAACAGCCTTAAAAATAAATTATTAACATTTAATTTGTTTAAAGTTATTTCTTAACAGATAACTAATAGAGTACTTATCATATTCCTGACATATTATTTATACCATGATAAAATAATATATTTATCAATATAGAACATTATTTAATCCTTAAAATAAAATTATAAAATAAGTGTTGAGCATCGGATTAATAATACTTCGTATGATTCTCCCTAAACCCAGGATAGGAAGAAAATGTAACGTATAGCTGTTGTAAAATTCAATAATAATTTTTAAAAAATGAAAATAAAAAGGACATTTTAAAAGCATTTAACTGTTATAGCTGTACATTTTTAACTACTAAAATTTGCAACATATAGTAATTTTACTCCAGTAAAATAGTTAGTTTTTTTCCAGTATTTAAAAGAGAATAAATACGCTTGTTAATTTCTGTAACTTGATCCAACAAAAAAAACATGAAATTTTATTTAACTTATGCTTCAAATTCATTTTAAATAGAAAAATTACAATTTGTTCAAAAATTGCTCTATAACCTTTTTGCAGGCAATAATTCATAGTTAACAGAATTAACTAATTTTAAAGCAAATGATATTGTAAAGAGAAAGATTTGAAATAAAAAGAGGCTTTAATTAAAATAAGGTTTTGAAAATCTGAAGGTCCAATGCTAATACCACCTGTGATAGGAGTCTAAACACCTCCCTCCACTGTATCCCGTCAAAACCAAGTCATGTGGTCTTTAAAACTTAACCACAATCCTTCCTTCACTGTTTGGGCCAACTCTTACTTTCATCAAGTGGTTAACCTTTGATCCCACATTAAGAAAGGGAGCTCTAAAATGACATAAAACTGAGTCATTATTTCTTTTTTCTCCAATTAATTGGAATAATAAATGTACCAATATATTAAAATTAACTCCTGCCCTATATTGCTATTTTCCTTCTAAATTCCCCCTCGTTTATTATACTAAAGGGACTCATTCCAGAATAAATAAAATATTATTATTATTGTTAAAAATTAACACCAAGCTTCATGGGAAGCCAGAGTTAACATATATATATATACACACAAAATCTCTTTCTATCTTTATATTACTTGCCCACACTTCATCAAGCCCTGGAACATAAACAACAAAGATAAAAGTTTACTCCCGTAAAACAAATTGTTTTTCTTAGTAAAAAGAAGAAAATAGCTCATGAGAAACATTATTTCTATTTGCCCTGATCTTGAAGTAAATCCAGAGGTGCATAACCTTCAAGAAAAGGTCTAAAAAAACAGCGATTCTATCGCCTCCCACAACCATCAGGCCACAATAGAAGTGATAAGAACCTTTGTCCCAGAAATGCCTATGAGGAAGAAATTCTTAGACAGAGATAACTAGATTAGAATGCATATGTGTTGTTATGCATAAATATGCATGTATTGAAACTCACACACCACATCAGTTGAAAGAGTTAAATAACTTAAATATTTAAATTATTTTAGTATTTTTATGTTCCCAGTGCACATTACAAATAATAAATTTTCCCTTTAAATGATTTGCTAGCACTAAATGTGTAATAATCCAGTAGAACACTAGTCTGATAATAACTGTTTAAACAGTAATTATTGAAAATATGCAAGAAGAAATAATGGAAAATATCTGGTATTGTATTTCAGATATATAAAAGAAAGAAAACAATAAATACACAAAAATATTTTTTAATTATATGTTGGAAAATATATAAAAATACATGAATACAAATTTATAAATAGTAGGAGTATTAAGTGAAAGTAATTCATGAAAATGAGTTAAAAAACTAAGACTAGTCAAATAACTTATCAAAACACATCTAACATTTTTAATACCATATGAATCATAAACCACAGAATTAAATTGAAATATGAATGAATTGTAAGACTTAATGATGAGATTTGTTGATATTGAAATAGAGCAACCTTTAAATTATGTGCGTTAGTAATAAATACTCTACTATCCAAAATTTATACAAGTGGAAGATGTTAATATTTTGTTTATAACAACAAAATTAATATCATAAGTTGAAAAAAAAATATTAAAAAACGGAATATTATAATTAATTCCAAGAAAAGAGGAGCATAATAATGATAAAAGAGTTACGAATTAAATCATTATAATAATAATCATTGTACATAGTAAAGGAGTCTTATTGTCACTGTATAATTAAGAAATTATAGAGAATATAAAAACAAAAGTACTAATATACAAAATACAAATTCATTGGATAATAACTGACATATTGTCCAAATTATAATAAATTATCAATAAAATCAAATTGATTATAATGATTTCATTTTGGTAATACTAAAAATAAAATCATATCCTAAACAATTAATTGTGGAAGCAGAAGTTCTAATAAATACTAGCTAAATAAATATATATATATATATACGTATTATATATGAATATATAATATAAAAATTTATAATTTTCAATATTATTTTTATTCTACATAACCCTTATTTACAAAATTTTAAACCTATAGCAGTTCTGTTTTTGTTTACCTTTTCCAAAGCAAATTTCATTTTAGAATTAATGGGTTCACACTGACATTTAAAATATAATCAACAAGTCATATTTTCAAAGTAAAATAACATTTATATACATATAATAGAAACCCAAAGCCAGAGAATCATACAACAGAACTTAAAAGCATTTCTATTAATTTAGATTTAAATTTCATTGATAAGACTTTAAGTGTCAATACTATTAGGTGCTTTCTACAATAAAGGCCCTTCAATACCAAATTGTACTTCATAAATTAAATTCTGTAAGTACATGGTTAATATCAAAGGAGCAATGTCTACTGATGTTATTGTGTAATATACCTTTAATAAAGCACTTGGTATCAACATAAATTTTTTAAATCACAGATCTACAAACTACACTTTTGATACTTAAATTTTAGTTTCAATTATCTTAAATCATTATATGTCATGATAATAAAAAAAAAATTAACACAAGTATAAAACCTAGTAGGGGTAGGAGAATAAAAAAGGGGGAAAAAAGGAAACATTAAAAGTTTCTTAATGATTACATCAAAACCTTAAATGTTATTTTAAATTTGGGTCCACAAATAACCATGATTCTAAAGAAAGGTCTTTTTTTAGATCAGCTGCACATGAATATAAAGAAATAGCAGTGTTGTGCATGAATATAGTGAAATGTTAGGTGCACATGATATTTATGGAGAAAGTTTCTAGTAATAAAAACAGAACTTTTTTTTTTCAATGTAGGCTCACACATGGGTGATTACTAAATTGAGGAAACTAAAGCAATGCAACCTGTTCGATTCTGAAGGTGACAAAACTATTTTAGAATCTTATCATGCAAATAGAACATACATGTTACACCTGAGCATGAAATGCATGATCTGATTATTTACAATGGTGATTATTTAGTATATTATTAACTTCATTTAGATGATTCTGTCAGTTTAATTTTTTTTTTAAACATTACATAAGTTATGTAGTTGTTTTTTAAAAATTATTTATAGAAAAAACTAAAAGTTAAAAAGACTATTGATAAGTCATTCACAAAATATTGGGTGTACCCAGAATCATTTTATATTTTCATTGTTTTGGTTTTAATCTTGAAAAAGTGCACCAACACAGCAGTTTTTTTAAATACCGTTTTAACTTTGAGTTTTGGGGTCATATTTTACTCACCAATGCCTAAATGATGAGTTAAGAGAACATTTTTTTGTATTAGAACTATTCTGTGACTGAACTCTAAATAACCAGATACATTTTTATAAAAGAGAAATAAATTATAGGCAGTTGTTAACAATGAAAGATGTTGCTACACCATACAGATTAAAATTTATTTTTAACATTCCAGAACAAAATTGAGAATTCTGCTATACTTGGCAAAATAACCACCCAATAGATATTAAAATTTATTCATTCAAAAATAAGATAAATTGGTATTAATTTATTTTACATGTTTCCAATCTTCAAAAAAAAATAATTTTTTTTTAGTCCTATACATTTAAGACTTGAAGTTTAACAGCATTATCAGAATGAAAATAGAAAAGTTGACAAAAATGGATAGCGTGAACCCAAATAATTCCAAAAATATTAACAATAGCTTTATCAGTTATTTTTGAAAGTTGTCCTTTTGTTTTTTTAAGGACAATTATATTTTTATATTGAAAGGTATGAGTAATAAAGAAGGGAAATTCATAAGTTAACAATTTCATAACATTATCTAACAAAAAAACAAATTTATTACACTCAAACGTTTCTCATTCATACCTCAACTTTTTTTTTTAATTTACGTTTTGGCAGTAGAATTAAGTATTGCATTTAGACAAGTAACATGTTTTCTACTTGTTTCCTACTGTAGAACAAGAAAATTAACTGAAGGAACTACAACCATGAAAAGTGTATGATTAAAAAAAATTCTTATTTAAGTCATAAACCTTAATTAATTTTCAATATAAGTGGCAGGATTTTAAGGTCTGTTGTTTCAATTAAAAAAACAAAATGAAATTAAACATAAGAAAATCAAAACAATACCTCAAGGAGCCCTAACAATATAGATCATCTAAACCCTAACAAGGAATGAAAACGTAATAGATTTAATACCATTATAACAAACATGTTGTGCTCTGAAAAATAGATGAAAATTGAGCAATTTTTTTTTCATGGTGTTACAATTTTTGCTGGCTATGAGGGACTAGATTCATTTGTATTATCCTTGTGCTGAGAAATACTAAATTGAAGAGCATTAGGAGTTAGCCACTCCCTGGGAAGGCAACGTTGTAAAAATGGAACACATGTGCTAAAATATGCTAGTCTATTTACCCATGAAGGTATTTCTTCACCACAAAGAATCTGAAACAAAAAATAAATATAAGAGATTTCCTAAAACACAAATATTAATTTGTAAAGACATTTAAAAGCTATTAATCTAAATCAGGGCTATCACAATCCTCCTAGCTATATCTCAATATACCCAAGTACAAAGCGAAAATTTCTATAACATATTTAAAATAAATAAAATGTTAAAAGTTAACATATTACATATTCACATCATTCTTTTAAATTCACTTACATGTGCACCATATACTTAAGTACAGGTTTATATTTCATTGCCAATTTTTTTATTACATATCTTTAATACCAAGCATTCATTAATTAATGATAATACTATCTCTTATCCAGAATTTGGCATCATACAGAAGAGCCCTTGCCACATTATTTCTGATAAACATGGGTTTCTGTAATTTAGTAACTATTTTCCTGCACATGGTTCATATGCATTTTCTAATTAGTAACTAGGGAAGATCATAGTGAAGAGGTGGGGTCACCAATTTTAAGCAATATTTTTTAAACGATTGTACACCCAAAATATTGAACAAGCATCCTGACGTTCATAAAAAGAGGCTCCAGGAATCAAAAAAAAATTTTAAAGTTCAAAAATTATGTTTTTCTATACATTTATAATCCTATTTTGCACCTACAAAAAAACAGATAATTTATTTTTTCTAAACATAAAATGAGAAAAAAATACATTTAAGATCTTATAGTAATCTTAGACCACTGAGCTTTTCAGAAAATATGGAATTGTTTTACATAAAACAAAATAAAAATAATTGTTAAATATAACATAGGCAACGACTTATGAAAATTATTGGGGGGAGGGGAGGTCTAGAAAGGTGGAGATATTTTTTTGGAATACATCCTACATGCAAAATATAATATTGAGTTCTCTTTAATACCCCACTATATAACAAATTTTTTATTGAATATTTAATAGTTGACCATTGCATTATAAAGGAAGGATATGGTCCGGGATTGCGGTCATAAAAAGGCTAAATAGTGGTAGAACTATTTTATTGAAAGACAACGTTTCGACCCGACTTCATCAGGGAGGTGTGTTCATCTAGGAGTTTCACTTAGAACTCAAGTTTCACTTAGAATTTCAGTTCTAAGTGAAACTCCTAGATGAACACACCTCCCTGATGAAGACCTGCAAAGTCGGGTCGAAACGTTGGCTTTCAATAAAATAGTTCTATCACTATTTAGCCTTTTTATGACCGCAACCCCGGACCATCTCCTTCCTTTAACAAATTTTTTATGTTTACTGGGTTATTCATTTGTATGAATGTCAACACTTATTAATCCTGTTCAGAACAATAATGTTTGTTTACCCCTGTAGCATTTTCTTCTTCTTCGTGGAGTAGTCTCGGCCCACCTTCGGTATGAATCCCTATCCTAGGCCTTCCTCTTCATCTCACCCAGGGTCGACCACCGCTCTTGTCTGAGTCTATCCATATAACTATTGTATGTGATTCTTGAACGACCAACCGGTCGTTGTACCCTTGGTCTGGTCTCCATCAGCCACTCTCAAACTATCACATGAGCTCTATGCTCGTCCCTCATCCTGTAGACATATCCATACCACTTGAGCTGGCGTTCCTCTATGACATCTCTTATATGTCTAACTCCAAGGGTATCGCTAACTGTCCTGTTCCTCACGCAATCTCATCTCGTCTTCCTATCGACTCTTCTGAGATAACTCATTTCTGCTGACGTCACTCGTGAGGCATTCTTATCTAAGAGTACCCAGCTCTCGGCTCCATATAACAAGACCAGGAGGAAAACAGATTTAAAATTGTGAAGCTTCACTTCTTTGCTCAACTCTTGCTTGCCTACCAGTGTTCTGGAAATTTGGAAGAAGATCTGGTTAACTTAACGCACTCGATGCATAACTTCTTGGTCTATCTTCACATCCCGACTGAAGATAGTTCCCAGATATTCATAAATATCAACTTGCTCCAGTCAGTGTCCTTCACACACAATTCTGAGCTTCACCTCCTCCTGTCCTACCTGCATAATCTTGCTTTTATCAGGGTTGGCGAGTCCTCTTCTCTGAAGCTCCTCGGACCACTCCTCCATTGCAACTTGCAGAGAATCCTCATTGTCTGCTATCACCACAATGTCTACATAAACGAAACACTGGACCTGGACGGGCAGCATATTCCAATATCTAACGATTGCTCTGGGTGTTTTTCGCTTGCTTTCCTTCAACATCTCGTCCATAATAATGTAAAACAATGTTAAGAGGACTGAGGCTATATCCTTTATAAAATCTGAATGGAGCAAACTTCATTAAATTCAATCTAACCACATCTTTTGGATCCTGGTAAGCTGATTTAATGGCACTAATGAGGTTCAGTGGCATCCTCTTCTTCTGTAAGGCAGTCCAAATCCCCTGTCTGGAGACCGAGTCAAAGGCGGCTCTGAGGTCCGAAAAGATAAGATAAACATTTCGTCCTCGGTCCAACGCTTTTTCCATAACCATCCTGAGAGAGAAGATATGGTCCTGGATTTGTCTTGAAGGCCAGAAAGCAGCTTAATCTTCTTCCATGTTAGCTTCGACATATGTTCTCAGCCGCTGCTCCAGGATCCTTGAGTACACCTTATACACCACCAAAGAGGCATATGGGCCTGTATTTTTCACATAGGGTCTGATCTCCCTTCTTGTATGCAAGTATAGTTAAATTTTCTTCCCACTCCTCAGGTAAGGTCTCAGAGTTTCATATCCTCTGAAACAGGTTCTGTAATACTTTCACCAAGGCTGGTCCCCCAAACTTTACAAGTCCTGGTAATATGCCATCTATTCCTGCAGAATTTCCAAGCTTGATATGTGCCACGGCATCCTCCACCTCTTTTTCTTGGATTGTGTCATCCATATCCTCTGACTGTATGTGCACTGTCCTCGGCCGGTGTCTTCTATCCATTATCTGGTCACTTCTGAACTCCTCCAATGAGAATTTTGTCCTCCAATGAGTCTTTATAGTGTTTCCGCCATACCTCCATAATCTCCTTTTCTGCCTTTTCAAGCTGACCTTGATTATTTTTAATGATCAGGACCTGTTTTCCTTTCTTCCCTCTCATGCATTTCACAGAAGTCCAGAATTTCCTGGTATTCTCCAGGCAGTTTTCCTCAATCTCCTTTCCAAAATCCTCCCTGGCTTTACTCCGAGCTTGCTTCATGGTTGCTTTTACAATGTTCCGCCTTCTCACATATGCTTTCCAGTCCTCATGTGATTTAGACCTCTTGTAAGCAGCCCAAGCCATTTTATTCTCTTTCACCACTCTGGCAACTTCATCATTCCATCCTTTTGTAATCCTGGTGCCTAATCTTCTTCATTCCACAGACCTCCAAACCAGCTTTACGGATGCAATCTCTGATTGAGCTCCATGAGGGATCTGGTACCATGTCATAATTGACATCCTCCAACTCCCTTCTCAGAACTGCCATATATTCCTGCTTTTTATTTTCTTGCCGTAGAGTTTCAACTGACATCCTATCATATGCCTTCCTATTAACTTTTCTAGGCTTTATAATCCTTGTCAGCAACCAGGAGATTAGGGTCCGTCTCCAGCTCTTCTCCTCTAATGAATTTATATCCATAAAGTACTGCTTAAGGTATCTACTATAGATAATGTAGTCAATGATATTTGAACCTTCTTGTCCTTGAGCATCAAAAAAAGTTACCTTGTAAATCCTCTTGTTGTTAAAGAAGGAATTTTCAAGAAGGTCATTTTCAATGCAGAAGTCCAGAAGTCTGTGTCCATTCTTGTTCTTTGCATCTTCCCCTGTGACTGATATGATTACGATTATGATCTTTCCGATTATGGTATTATAACCGATTATGATCTTTCCCGGTTCTTGCATTCAGGTTTCCCATGAGGATGATACTCCTATTTCTAGTGTTTATTTGCCGAGTCAGCAGTTCGCTGAAGGTCCTCATAGAAGTTCTCCTCATCTCCGACACTGTTATCCTCTGTAGGAGCATATACTTGAATAAATGTATCTTTTCCCATAGTGGGTTTGATATCCATTACAATAATTCTAGAAGATTAGGCTCCCATTTATCTATCCTATTGTATAGCTCGTCCCTCAGGACAAACGCCACTCCCTCCTCAGCTCTCCTTTCATTTACCCCTGAGAATATCATTGTGAATCCAGATGGCAAATTACTGCTTTCCCAATTCTTCCTCTTCACCTCACTCAGACCCAAGATGTCCACCCTATACCTCTTGATCTCCGCAACGAGCTCTGACTCTTTACCAGTGAGTATCCTAATATTCCACATAGCTGATCTGAAAGCACCAATTTTCGAAAGAAAAATTATGCATACAAGGAGAATGGAGGATAATGGCAAATCAGCGGCTAGATGAGCTGTAGAAGCAAGAGTTTTGTATTGTATGCTTTATAAAGGCTAGAAGAATTAGCTGGCTAGGGCGCGTGGAAAGACTATCTGATGACAGTCACAAAAAAGGTACTTAGGGACGAATTTCCCGGAAAAAGGAAAAGGCTGAGGAAATGTTGGAAAAGTGATGTGGAATATTTAAAGAGGATGGGAGTGGTACAGTGGAGGGGGAGAACGAATGATAGAGAGGATTGGAAAAAGATCGTAAAGGAGACCAAGGTCCACCTCCAACTGTAGAACTCGTTAGAAAGTATGTATAGAGAATAATCTAATTTTTGGGCAATGCATTTATGTTTCAATTATAGTACAGAATTAATACTAGCATTTAAATCAGCCAAAACATTAAAGTTAACAAATAATAGGTTTTCAATAAAGTGGTAAGGAGTTTTGATAAGATATGCAGAGATTAGTTTTAGCTCTTCAGTCTTCAATTTCCTCGAAGTTTTGTGATACATGACTGAAGAGATTCATTTGCCATAAATAGTAATAATGAAACATTAATTACCAACAAAAATTAAGCTGCATCGGCATATCTATATAAGTTAAATAGGCATTAGAGGCATTTTCTCTTATATCCATTGTAAATGGCAGCAAAAATAACACAGCCTAATTGTGACATATAACTGTTATAATTATATAATTTGAAACTATATTAAACACAATTATAGAATATATTTTAAGTCAAATAAAATTTGATCATGGATTGGACAAATTTACCTTAGTAAATGAACCAGAAAAATGGTTGCAGTTTTTGTTCATTAAATGGTAGCGATCACCTCTAAATTCTTTATCTAATTCTTGAATTATTCGTTTAACATCCTGCTCTGTGAAATCAGTATGTCCAATTAATACGGATTGCCTAAAATATAAACAAATAATAGATATCTAATTTGAACAAAATTGTCATTACTTATTATTTTAAATTATTATATTAAATCCTACGATTAATAATAAACTGGATAGAACAAAAGCAAAATCAAAGTGTAAAATAAAAATAAAAAGTTACACAGTTAAATAATGATTTGCTGATCTTTGCTACATTATATATAAATTTGAAACTTAATTGTACTTCAAAATTTAAATTTAAAATAAGAAACAATAGTGAGCAAGCCGAATAATAAATAAAAGCACTGAAAAATTGAAGAAATTCAAGAAGTATATGTGACAGTTAGAAATTGCCTTCAAGGTTTTGTGATAATGAATCATCAATCTTTTAGAAAAGAATCTTTTAGAGCTATACATAACAGTCTTTATAATAGTTCAATTATACATAGCACCTCCTTGTAATAACACAAGTACAGATAGCATCTCCTTATAACATATTAGAGCACATCTTCGTAATAATACAGTAAATGAATACTGCGACTTTTGAAACTTAAATTAAAAAATATACAATACAGGCTCAGATGTTGCACACATATTTAGCTTTAAGAAAAAATGATACTATTATATGGGTAGAAAAATTGTCAGAATCTCCAATTACAGCTTGATCGAATTCACAACAAAGGCAGGAATACGACTGCGTTACTACAATCTGATCTCATTGCTAATCGTTTAGGTCTTCCATACAACAGTACAGTAACAAACACAAAGGAAATTTGGGGAGAGAAATTTGATCCAAATTATATTCTCTCTGCTTGCATTTGCTGATGGCATGGTGGTTCTCGCAAATAAGGATGTCAATCTACAAATTAATATCCGAAATCTAGAAAAGGAGTTAGATAATATTAATATGGTAATGAACCCAGAAAAAGCTAAGTTCATGGGGTAAAGTCCTGAAGAATCATGAGATTCAATAGGGCTAACATAGTAGATTGGAACAAGTGGACTGCTTTAAGTATCCAGGAGTCCATCCTTACGAAAACGGCTATATTGATGAGGAAGTGTTAGAGAGAATCAGTGCAGCTTAAAGACTTTCTAGTGCCATTAAGGAGTAATTTCTTAATAGAAGAGAAATCGCCAAAAGCATAGAAATCTCGGTGTACAAGTAAACTTTTTTTCCAACATTAATCTATTTATCCGAATCTATGGGCTTTCACATCCAAGAACAAGAAAGGTCTGCAAGCTATGGAAATGAGGTACCTTAGAATGTACTAGATATGACAAGACTACAAGCACTGTAATCAGGAGTAAAATCGACACAAAACCGAATGGAGAATATTATAGAGAAGCATTGGCCGAGATGGTATGACTATATTAAAAACATGGCAGATAACAGAGTAGCCAAACTACCACACGAAGCCATAATGAACGGAGTTTATGAGGATAAATGAAAAAATTTTACAAACTTATGTATGTAGAAAATAAATTTGAAAGTTTCTCAAACATAAAAGTCACATATTAAAAAAAAAAAAAACCATAATAAATTTATAACAGGTGGCAACCTGAATTGATGTCAGATAATCTGATCTCAAAGTACACTTTAACTTATTGATTGATTTACATCAACAGGTTGCCAATAAGTATTTAATAGTTATACGTATAGCTCATAATCAAATAGTAATATCCATTTACAACAATAGAAGAGTAGAGCAAATAATAAGAATGTATATTCAAAAATACAACATAAATATTGTCAAAAATAATTTGTTTAACTATTATACTGACCTAAACTGAAATTGTTCTCCTAGTTGTAAACAGTCTTTAGGAGTTATACAAAAAATTCCTGTAAATGGATATGGATGACCTCCATAGGCATATTCTATAAACACAAGAAAAATACATTAACATTAACACATAGAAATGTTTTGTACTTATTACAACTGAATTAACACTTTAATGTACCTTGACCATAAATTTCAACACCAGAATGATATACACCCAATCCAATTGGAGTAGTATATTCATTAGTCCAGTACTAAAATTGCAAAAGAAAAGATGAGTAGATTGACACAAAAATAAAATAAAATGATTAAAATTTTAGAAATAAATTTACCATGTCATAAACATTGAGGTAAATAGGTTCTCTAGCCATTTTATCCACCAAAAGATATTCCTCACTCTCACTGTTCACTTTTAAACAACTGGGAAATCTGATACTGCAACCTTAAAATAAAAATATGCACCACTTTCAGTTATTGAAGAGTTAACAATTTTTATCTGATTGTACACATTACAAGTGCTGTCCATTAAAACACAGATAACTAATCATTTATCAAGGGAAGTTCCTCAAATATTCAAAGTGTTGTTTGAATAAACATGAATACATAGGAAAAACTTACTAAAGTTTTTCCAGCTTAGAGGCAACATAACAATAGGCGAGTTGAAAAATACGATGAAATTAATTTTTTCATAACTAAAATTTTAATTTATCTAATATAAAAAAATATAACATGAGCTACATAAGTGAAACAAGACCCATAAACAACTTTCGAAACTAGGACAAAACTAATGATCAGCTGTGACAGATGGTTAAAAGGACAGAAGGCTTCTAGAGGACTACTATTTTTATTACTTTATGAAAAATAGTAGAATATTATGCTAATTTATTAAACATTTACACGATTAAAGTTGCTTTAATGAAAAATATATTACTATACATACATTTATACGTGAATAATTGAAATAATTTCAATTTTTTGAAAATATTTTCAACGTGAAAACATCTCTTTTAATGTCAAAATGAAACTGGTTCTGACTATTATGATTATTTAAAATTTTAAAAAGTTCTAAAAACTCTATTAGTATGAATGGGTATACAAAAATTAGCTTGGCATTTTACTGATACTGAAAATAAAAATGTTATCATTTATTGATAACAAACTTAACCTTCTTCCTACAATACCGGTTTTGAGTAAACATTTAATGTTAAGTTCATAGATATTTGCTCAATCACCTTTTACAAAATGTTACCTAGTTGTAGTATTTTTTACAAAAATTTAATATGTATGTATTTGAAGAAGTCAAATAAAAATGTCATCTGCCTATCTGAAGAAAAATTAATGATAAAATTAAGTGATTTCAGTACATTATTTTTTTCTTTATTCAAATAATGTTTATTTAGAAATTAATTTCTGTATTCGATCCTAACTATCTATGAAATTTCTGAAACAATGTCTTCACCGAAATTGGAGGAAGAAGGAGTACTCAGGGAATGGGCTCCTTTGAGTAAATTGTTACACCAAATACCTATGAAAATGAGACAAGGTATGTTTTTAGAAGATTTAAGATTTACTTCTGTTGATGCAACAACTGAATGTATTGTTCTGGGTTCAAATTGCGGTACCTGTTTTTGGTATGACAGAGGAACTCATTATGTACAACATTTGCGACCTGAGGTACTTAAAACTAATAAATTTTATATTCATTATGTTTACATTTAGTTAAATTTTGCTCTGGTTCTTGATTAAATGATCTTTTAATGTTCAGCATTATGTAAATAACATTATTTTTCATCTTATCACTAAAGTTTACAATGTGTGACTAGTAAATGTATATTTTATATTTCAATCAAAGCTATCAATTTTGTGTGATCAGATAATCAAATGTTTATTTGAAAGTTTTGGCTTTAGTTATGTTTTATTTCTATTATTTTTTATATTATAGGATGGTTTGTGATTTACAGGAATATTAAATGATTCAATCAGTCACCCAGTGAGGAAATATTGAATTTTAATTTTGTAAAAAATTTACTACTAGGTTTTTCATAGATTTTTTTAATCATTATTAATTTTGTTGTCAAACCCAAAATATAAGGAATGCTATATTTTATTTTTGATAATTTAAATTTAGTTGATAAAATGTTTACACTTACTTGATAATAAAATATTTTAATTTATTACATATCTATTTTTTTTCCAGAAAGGAGCTAATGCTATTACATGTGTGAAAGTTGTGTCTACTGTAGACTTTATGGTTGCATGTGGTGATAATACGGGTATTGTTTCTATTTTTAAGATTCCTAAAAGTATGGAAAACTTCAGTGGATCTGGAAATAATTTATCACAAAAGGTGTTTACAACTTTTTTTGTATAACTATTTGTTTCTTTATCAACAGATTCTTGTAAGCATCAAGTGCTTTATTTTATTGGTACATATATTGCAGATGTGAGGAGTTTAACTAAATTGCAATACTCTATAAAAATCCTGTATTAAAGCTGTTTTCATTAATCTTCTTAAATTATAACATTTTAATTTTTTTTTTTATCCATATTTATTGAGAAATATTACAATCTGTCACAATTAATTACAAACATTTTAATTGGAGTACAAGCCTAGCACCCATAGTTAATTTTTGAAATTCCATTTAATTTATTAACTAATTATTGGATGAAAATGATAATTTTAAAATTATAGGATCTTTTAAGAGATTTTAATTTAGTTTATTAATTTATTAAAATTAATTAAAGTTAAATAATATTACGGATGATATCGTAAAACATGATATGGTATGTAACTCTTGCTTTGATTAGCTTCAAAAGGGCATTCTTACATAAGAAGATATAATTGTATGAATACTTAAATAATTTTATGAATTCAATGTAAGAATCAAATCATCTCTTCATTGATTTAAAGTCAGCATTCTGCAACATTCATTGAAAAGAGCTCAATTAAGCACTACATGGCCTGACTGTTCCACCAAAGGCTATCAATGGAAAATATTAAATGTATGTTTCAGGTAAAAAGTCAAAGATCATCGGAAGAATTTCCATTCAGGAGAGGATTAATGTTAACGCAAGTGCTTTTTAATATGGCACTAGAAAAAGCAATAAGAGACTCTTAGGTTCAAACTTTAGGTACAGTATCGAACAGATCAGTACAGTTGTTAGCATATGCAGATGACATTGATATTACAGGGAGATCCAGACAAGCAGTAATTGAGGCATTCCTTGCTCTGGAAGCTGCTGCGAAATGGATGGAACTTACTGTCAATAAAGTCAAAACTAAGTATTTGGTTTCAGATCAAGCTCTGAGATTAAAAGGAAGCAATGTTTCTTTTGGATCCTTCTGGTTTGAGTAGCCCTCACAGTTTGTTTATCTGGGATCAATGGAAACCTGCAACAATGATGTTGTAGTGGAGATTAGGAGGAGAATAGTAGCTGCCAATCGCTGCTATTTTGGACTCAAGAAGCAATTTAATAAGCAGAAAAATAAAAGTTATTTATAGAACTCTCATCCATCCAGTACTATTTTACGGCTCGGAGACATTTACCGCAACCAGAGCTGAAGACCAACTCCTCATATTTGAACGGAAAGTGTTATGCTGAAATTTACATTAGCGTGTATGAGAATAATAAATGGAGGAGGTGAAGCAATCGGGAGCTGTATGACCCATATTAAGAGCCGGCCATCTCCTGTGTTATCTAGCTTGGAAGACTCAGATGAGCAGGACATCTAGCAAGAATGTAAGATAGTTTGACGATCTACCTACTAAGAGAATTATGATTGAGCCCTTTTATAGTCATTGAAGAGTTGGGAGAATGAAGCTGCGGTGGGCAGGTTGTGTAGTCCATGATGCAAGAAAATATTTAAAGGTCCGAAACTGGATGGCAGCGACACCAAATAGAGATGCAGGGTGGTTGCTGTAAAGCAAGCCAAGACCCTTTAGGGTGTTGTGCTAGTGAAAAATAAGAAGAAGAATGTCTTCTTCTACCTTTATTGTTCTTAACAAATTATAGTATGTTCACACCCTTGTACTTTCTTTTTGAATATGATGCAGGCCGAGAAGAACTCTACTTGTCCTTCTCCATTAGGATAACACTTTTACTTTATTAATTTTTTTTTTATTTATTTATTTTTTTTTTTATGGCAGTTTCTTTTGCAAAGGTGTTTTCACCTTCCCAATGGATTTTCTTGTGACTATTTGTGGATCTTTATTTTAGAAAATATCTTTAATCTCCACCTTATAACTTGCAGAGGGTACTTTTTGTAATTTAGTAATACGGTTTGATTTATTTAATTTAACTATTTTGAATGATGTTTGCATTATTTGTGGAAAGGTTTATTGAAGTTGCAGTTTATGTTATATATTTTGCATACAAAACAAACCATGAAGTTCTACTGCTAATTTTGTATATTTTTTAAACTTATTAAATAAAAGAAAAGTAAAAATTAATTTAAAATGTCTTTAAAAAAAATAATTAAGTGTAATTTTTATTAAATAATGTTTTATTATATTTATAGTAATCAGTTATTTTGTTAATATATTATAATTTTTCATAGAAATGCATGTTTCGACTTTTCTGATAAAGAGCTAAAACAGCCAACTGTGCAGCACTAAGTGGTATCGCTTAGGTATCACCATTCTATGTATTATTTTCATTTTATTCTTCTTTGTCACTATTATAAGATTATCGTTCAAACGTATCATTCTGTGTGTGGTCCCAGATTAGATTTCGTCGTGAGTGTCGAGAGATACTGTATCATCGAGATGTATCTTGTTCTGTGTGTATACTACATTTTTTCTTTATTTTATTGACACACTATTAATTATTCTTAGGAGATTTGTATTTCTAAAAGTGTTATGTAATAGTTAAGATAATTTAAACTTTAAAGAATGCTATAATAGTATTTATTGTACTAATAAACGTATTTATTTTTTATTAGATTGAAAGGTATACTGTTGATGGTCTTCATAAAACCAGAGTCACTGCTTTAGAATGGAGTATGAACGGACAGAAACTTTTTAGTGGAGATTCTGATGGTGTTGTTGTTTTTACAGAAATGGATTTTGTAATGGTAATTCTTTAAAGGAAAAAATTTACTTAGAATAAAATATTAAATTTCAATAGCTTAGTTTTTCAAACTGCTTGCACGTACTTTAACACTTTGCCTTCTAGATCATTTATATTTCAATACTTCCTTTAATAAAACAAATAGATTATGTATTCCATATTTTTCATTTACTATCTTCAGGTATTTGAGACATGTGCCTTTTTCATATCGGCTGAAGTTAGTAATAAGTTTTGATTTATTTAATTTATCTATTCTGGTTATATTTCAATTCTTTTGTGGAATGAAAATTAAGTTCACTCATCAATATTTATTATTCAAGTTTTCACATTATAAATACAGTCAAACTGAAAACTTGGATAATAAAAATTGATGAGTGAACTTAATCTGTCTATTAAACATAGGGTCAGAAAAGTCTCTTTCTTCCTTCCTCTAAATCCCCAAAGATCTTTATATTTTTAATAGGAGTTCCTTAGTTCTTGGTTGAAACTAGGGTCTGCTTTACTTTGAGCTAATACAAACCCTTTAATCAATAAGAAAGGAGTAATTTAATTTATCTTGTAGTTATAAGGTTAACTTTTTTAAATGCAACAGTTGGATAAACAAAATAAAACTGTTAAGCCATTCCGATTCCTCCCACAGCTTATGGCTTAGAAATATCCTCAGACTTACTTATTTGATCTATAATACCTAGTCCTGTCATTAATATCGTTACAAAGAAATATATACAGATTTCAACAGAAAAATTATAAGAATTTTTTCAAAAACTATTAGAAAATAAAAGATATATCTATAGAGAGCAAAACAAAAAAGAAATTACTTAAAATGTCTTTCTTTTATTTTTTTTTTTTGTTTGTCGTATTTAATCTCTGTGGCTAGTCATCAATAGCAGCATGCAGCACTTCTTGAGGAAAGTGCTCAACTGCTCGGACCAGAGATTGTTTGAGGCTTTCAAAGTTAGGGTGTGCTCTGTGGCATGTCATCCTCTCCAGTTCGGACCAAAACCAATATTGTAGTGGGTTGAGATTATGGCTCCCTGAGGGCCAATCCAAGACAGAGATGAACTCTGGAATGTTCTTTTGCAGCCACTGCTGAGTTGACCTGTCCTTGTGAGCTGGAGTGGAATCCTGCTAGAAAATCCAATGACTTCCAGCAAACAGGGTATCATTTAGAGGCTTGACAACAGGTTCGTTGTCCAAAATATCATCCTGATAGTTTTTAGCGGCTGTTTTAACTCCTTTTTCACAAAAATAGAGCTTTGTGGTGCCATCAAAGCAAATCTCCACACTAAACCATCATTGAGGAAAGATGATGACCTCTTTCCACTTTTCCAATGACTTCCTGGGCTCCTTTAGAGCTGTATGCGTACACGCGATCATTTTGGCGATTTAATTTTTCTTCAATTGTAAAAATGTTCTCATTGCTAAACAAAATCTTTTGATGAAGACCATTGATGTAACTGACTTTGCATCTATCCACTCTAATTTTTGTTTGGAAAGGGGAAAGTGGGTTGTTTGGAAGCCTTTGTCTTGTCATTCTTCGAAATGCACCCATCCTAAGGGTCCGGTCAAGGTCTGTCACATATAGATAGTGTCTCATTATATCTATTTATAGTGTGGTACACGAACATATGGCTGATATCCAAAGGTTTCAAAGTGTTGAAAAACTCTGACCTACATTTTCTAACTTTGTGTAAGGCGATCACAGCTATTCAGTTTTTTTTTTATCACCCCACTCCATGTTAACTGAGCAAAAGAAAAATACAAACTAATTGAGATTATTATCCTGACATGTAAAGAAAATAGCCTGATAGAGGTAAGGACTGTCTAAATAATACTTAAGGATGTAAACAAAACTCAACTTTAGCAACAGTATTTATGGCAGAACTAGGTACTTGTTTCTAAATGTTATTCTGAAGTTTCATACATAATAATTCATTTTTATAAATTGTTACACTTGATCATTTTTTATTTTTCACCATTGCTACTATTGACACTTTTACTTTGTGAATTGTTTTCTTACTATTAACTTTTTTGTTGATGTATTTATATTGATTTAGGATTATTGAAATAAAATATAACTTCTTTTTTTTATGTATTTATTTTTTTGTCAGAATATAAGTAAAGCTAGAGAAGTTTTAAATGAAAAGTATTCAATCGTTCAGCTTAATTATATTCAGCGTGAACAAATTTTATTGGTTGCTTCTAAACTTCGCTGCATTATCTGGCGTGGGCAAAATACTAATCATACAATCACTCAAATCGGGCAGAGAGAGCGCCCCAGGTTGGTAACTTAGATATTTTGTTTGTTCAATGTTTTACAATATTGTAATTTTTACATTTAAATGAAAACAGCTATATTCAATGAAAACAGTGATGCTTGCATTTCCTTATTCAATTATTTCTTAATTTTTATTTCTCTTGCAGTTTGCTTTCACTTGGAGGTACATTAGTTTATGAAGAATCTGGAGAGGTTACTGTGTACAGTTGCAGAGGAGGTCTTAAACTGTGGAAAGCTGATTTAACTGGTGATGTTAAATATACATTGTTATTTAAGGTATTAACTTACAATTAAATGTGCTCTTTTATGCATAAATATCTTTGAATAAATTATCATTATTTTTTACTTTCACTTACCTATATATGTAATATGTAGTAAAAATTTTGAATCTGAGTTTTCAATAGAAATACACGTTTTGAGGTTCCTGAGTCCAAATAACTAAGTACTGCAAAATGATCTATGTGTCTGTGTGTATATGAACAGTCTAGCTCAAAAACGAAAAGTTGTACGAACTGATATTACGTATTTAAGATAGGTATATGACTCACACGTTACAGCAACTTTTGCCTTAAAATCAGCTTACAGGAAGTGCCACTTGATGTCAACGGTGAAATACAATTTTACAACTTTCTCAAAAATGGCTCTAACGATTTTGATAAAATTCGGTTTATCATTGTATAATTAAGTGGTCTTTAATATCATTCAGGTCTTATCCCCATTGATATCACTTTACAGAGCTTAAATGACAAATGTTCCTATATGTTTTCCTCTAAAGTACCTTTAATATGGTTTATTTAGAAATATTAACTCTCTTTTATTGATAGTAACTATAAAAAATGGCTAAATATAAAATTTGAAAGAATATGATAATTGGAAACGGGAGAAAAAAAGAAAAATGCTTATCCAGGTTGAAAATAAATCTTCAGAAAGTAAACTTAAAATATACTGTTGGAAAGCTGAGAATTTTAGAAAAAGTAGTATCAAATAAATAAAGTTGTAAAAGGTAATGGAGAGTGAAGAAAAAAATATAAATAATAATTTCTGAAAACTTACATTATTTAATGTAAATCACATGTTTCCAGGAACATTAAATGAAATTGTGTTACTAAATGTAAACTTTTTTTTAATTTTTTTTTTTTATTGATGATATTTACTGATATTTATTAGATTGTAAGGATTGAATACGAGAGGAATTCGATGGCTTAGTGGAGCCCCAGAGCTCAACTCCGTAAGTTCAAATAGGTCTTATTGTAGTCATGTATATGAGTCTTTTGTAATTGATTGGGAGGTTAGAGCGTTTGTCTAGTAAGTGCTGGATTAGTCTGAAACGTTGAGCTGTTTCTTGTCGTTTCAGTCTGGTATGAGGATTCCAAGTTAGATGTATGTCTATGTGAAGTCCAAGGTATCGAATTTGTTCAACAGGGATAAGTGGGGTATTATTAAAGGATACTGTAGGACAAGAGGACATAGGTTTACGACGAAGGGTAAAGATGATTTTATGGAATTTATTTTTATTCTCCAGTTTTGACACCATTCTTCAAGGTTTGTGATGTGTGATTGAAGGGTTTGGGATGCAATTGTTGGGTCGTTATTAACTGATAGGACACATGTATCATCGGCATACGTGGTAATGACTGTGTTAGGATGGGTTGGGATATCAGCTGTATAAACTGTGTAAAGGATAGGACCTAGGATACTACCTTGAGGAACACCAGCGGACTGGGAAAAAAGGGATGAATAGGCATTATTATGATTTACTTTGAAGGATCTATCAGTAAGATAGGAACGGATAATGAGGAAGTATGTAGGGTGTAGGAATTTACGGAGTTTGTAAAGCAGTCCTGGGTGCCAGACTCGATCAAAAGCCTGTTCTACATCGAGAAAGACTCCCGTGCAGTACATTCCGCGCTCCAATGCAGAGGAGACAACATCCACCACACGATGGCATTGCTGGATAGTGGAATGGGATCTGCGGAATCCAAATTGATGATCTGGGATAATGTGATTAGAATCTAGGATGGGGTACAGGCGTTTTAGGATGAGCTTTTCCAGGATTTTGCCTAGGATGGGTAAAAGGGAGATAGGACGATAGGAGGATGGGTTTTCTGGTGGCTTTTTGGGTTTATGTATCATTTTGATAATAGATAATTTTCAAGGATCAAATGTAAACTTTTAATTTTTTTTTTAAGTTTGAGAAAAAAAGCATTTAAAATCCATTGAATCAAGGTAATGACATTGCTTAAAATACTATTTCATTGTATTTGTATGAAAGAAGAAGTGAAATATAAAAATATTTCATAGATATGATTATAGCCTTCAATACATTTACTGTAGTTTAATAACTAGATCAGATATTATATTTAAATAATTAGGTATCTATTGGCCATTTATTCCAAAAAATCTACTAGTGCACCTTTTAGAAAATTAAATTAGTGAATAATTTGATTAATTTTCCCTTTCTGAAATCAAATCATTATCCACTTAGAATTAGTGTGACAAGTTTTGACCTATCCATGACAGGCAATGAAAATTACGTAATTTCATTTTAGTAAACGTTGCAATTGAAAATAACAGTTTAATAACTAATAGTCCTACAATTCATAATCATTTATAGGTTAAATATATTTAAGGGATTCTGTTCTAGTAGATTCACTCAATAAATTCACCATTAACAATAAAAAATACACTTTAATTTATGGGGAAAAATACATTGCTATGAGTAATAAGAATTAGCAAATATTCAAAGAAAGGTAATGTTATACAAAAAAATGAGAAATGCAGCTGCAGAAAATTTTATTGCAGAATAAAGAAAAAAAAAAAGGTTAAGTTTTATTAACGAAAAATACAAAAATTAAATTATGCTTGCCAATTAACAAAAAAAGTTTAAGAGTTGCAACTCCATCACCAATAATACAATACAGCGGGTGAAAATTGCATATTTTTTACGTATTGCACTGCAATTTTCTATCATTCTAACTAGATTTTTTCATATCATCTGTTTTAAAAAACTAAATCGATATTTTGTATCGAGCCTGGATGATCGATTGTCCAAAGAGATAGGCAGAAGTAAAGCTGGGGTAAAAAATGCAGCACTGATTACTGCAGGTGTCATGACGTCTTAAGAGGAGTGTGGTAACATTTACAGGTGTACTTTCAAATCTCTCCAGGCATATAATAGCCTTTCAGTTGACATAATGACTAACTCCAATTTTAATATTCTTCATTATTAATTTTAGTGATGTTTCTAGTGGGAAAATGTATACCTTTATTCACAGTTCTATATCTCAACACTGCAATCACAAACTCTGGAATCTACTAACTCATTGTCTGTAAGCTTTTTGAACTAGGAATATCACTAAAATGATATTACTCAAAAATGTTGAAATTGGAGTTAGTCATTCTGTCAACTGAAAGGCACACATAGATCAGAGACTGAAGTTATTTGGTTTATAAAAGCAGATGGCGTAACTAGATTTTTATTGTCTACCGTCGATATAATAAATCGAGTTTTTGTAATTTTAATGATTTGTTATCTGTAAGCTTTTAAGCTTTAGCTCTGTTTAAAATGCACTTCAAAAATTTTATAATAGCTTAAAATTGCCAGAAAATAAATAATTTCTATTCAAAGTTGAGCGGTAAGTGAAAGTTGTGTGTTGCCCCCACCAGATTTTTTAATGTGTTTATTCAATATATTGTATAAGGACTTAAATATCATCGTATTTCTAATTAATTAATTTGTGCATTTTTTTAAAGTCATATTAATGTACCTTTTCATCATGGTATAAAGTTAATCAATATAGTTAGCCGATTATAACATGGTAGTTAATTATTATAACTACTATTATAACTATTAACTACTATTATAAACATGGAAGTTGAGTTAATCCAACAATTAACCTTCTTTTCATACTTTAACCTCTTCTTCCTCCCTCTCTCCATCCCTTTTTCCATCCCAGAAGCATTGAACATCTTGGCAATATTTGTTTAAAACATTTTAATAAATTGTGCATTATTTATATCGATTTACATTATTTGATATTGGTTTATTAAGGTTACTATTATTTAGGTTAGTCATACCAAGATCATGTTTGATTTGTAAATATAAAATACAATTTTGAAAAAAAATATATTTTAAAAAAGTAATGATTTTATAATTGTTATAAATTTGCTTAGAAAATATTATACAGTTCTTTGCAATCCTCAATTTTTATTTTTATTTTCAGGAAGCCTTGAAGAATTGCAAAAATCCAGTTAAACTTTTGAAACAGTTAGATACTGTGGAAAATAATAATAAACTTCCTGAATTTGGGAGTATTTATTCTTGGAGGGATGGTCTATTTGTTTCATTTAGAAAGGATAGTATTGTAGTTTTTGATCCACATCAATTAACAGTTGTCGCAACATTACTTAACATCAAAGAAATCATTTGTGCCTGTACAACCAGAACTGAATTGTTCTTTATATCTGGACAGCGAGATCTTATTCGTTTGGGCTATACTCCAGATCTTTATGATAGTAAGTACTCTCATAATAAATTTATTTCATTAGTGTTTAAATACATTACAAATTATTAAATAAATATAAAGATTATTTAGTTGGTTTAGTTCTATTTGATCTACTGTGTAATTGGTAGAATATATGTGGTTAGAAATTGTGGATGAAAAAATTATCCTGATAGGAGAAAAAAAATTAACAGTAATTAAACGACTATTCATAACCTTCCTCTAAGAAGTAATGAAACAATTATCTGATTTTATCATGAGCACCAAATTTGGGGGTATGAAGAGTCAATTAATAATTTGTTGATCCTAAAGTTATAATATTATCTTCTTCTTTCTGTTGCCTTTCAACATCGAATTTGAGCCTTTTTTTCTGCTTCACTAGCGGATACAGCATTTTATTTTGGGGGAGGGAATTCAGCCTGAAAGCTTTTTTTTCTTAAATATATAACCAAAATTACTTAGGAAGAAAAAGAAATAAAGTAACTATCTATATGAAATGGTGTTTAAATGATTCTTGAAGTACTATTAAATGTGATTACACAAACAATAATACTTTTACTGATCATATGTTTTTTATAGGACATGGTAATATTTTATCATTTTGGGAGGGGCTCAGCCCGAAATTCCCTCCCTCACTTGAAACCTTATGAGATTTTTTCCCCCTGAATGTTAGCTAAATTTAATATTTTGAAGCAGAATAACAATTTTTTTAGGCAGTATTGGTGGATTTGGAAATATGGCTACTGGAGAATGTGTTTCAGGACTTCCAGAAGTATCTATCGAACCTGTTTATGGCTCTCCAATATCATCCTCTTTTTCTAGAAATTCTTACTTATCAGCATCAACTGCGAATTCGTAAGTATGCTTGTATAGATAATTATATTGCTGTGTACTTCTAATTATATAACAATTAATTATTAATATTATTAAGTAAAAATAAATTGAAATATCATTTGACTTTTAAGCAGTCTAATTGAGTTACATTCTTTATGAATGTTCTATCAGCTTTTCTAATCATCTGTAAATTTAAATTATTGCTGTAGTGAACTAAGTTCAAGTGAAGTTATCTATGGAACAGACCCATCAGTACTTCCTCCTGTTGTGTCTTTACATGATGGTATACCTGAACTCAGAATACAGCCTTCAAGGTACCAGCAATTTACTACAATCGGAAAACAAGGATTTGATGACATCATCTACTCTCAGGTGATTTATAGTATTATTTTTCTAAACTTAGTACTTATCCATTGACAGTATGAACCTCTCAAGTCGACATTGGATTGTGGCTTGCCAATAATACTCCAAAGGATGCAGGAAGTTTATTTGATTATTTACATTTTGTTGTAACATTTAATATTTTTTCACGTTAGTATTTATTTTATTATTATCAAGTATTTAATATTAAATATTTACTTATTATTATTTTAATTTTTTAACCTTCAAAGCAGAACCATCAACAAAGAACTGAACATAATAAACTAATATATTACCAAACAAAATACATATGTATATATTATTTTTATTTATTTTTTTACTGCAAATGAAACTTAAAAATGTTTATAACAAATGTGTTCTTAATGCACAAAAAAAACAAAATTATAAACTGAAAAAAAAAAAACAGCTAGTAAATAAAGAATTTAAAATAACCATTATTTGTTGGAATAGTGTTCATAATTTTATAATAAATTCTTTGCCATTATAAATAAAAACATTTCTTTGTTATAAAAAATATTTCAGATAGACAATTTAAGTAAATAATTGAAAAAATTAATATTTTTATTTGAACAATTTCAATTTTAATAAAAACAATAATTATAAATTTTATTACATTTTAATATTGTCTGCAATATTTAGAAACGCCTTCAGAAACACAAGAATAGAAGGAAAAGTGCTGAGTTGGTAGAACAAAAGCCAAAATGTGAGTAAAATATGCTGTTCTTTTGCTATTTTAAGGCTTAAATTTTTACATTTGGGTGTGTCTAATTGTATTTATACTTTTCCAGCTTCACGGCTATCTTTTGATGGTTTTGCATCGTATGTTAACACTTTCGGGAAATTTCTCAATGGTGAATTTTCATCTTCAATTTGTGATGGTGAATTGGTAATTACATAATTTTCTTCCAAAATATTGATGATTTATTTTATTTATTAGACTATATTAAATGTATGTCAGCAGACTTCTTAACCTTTCTTAGCTCATTCCTTTTAGAACTGAGTACATTTTATCTTTTGGCAGGTGCTCATTCAATCTCATCCTGAAAAAAATATTTAGAATTTGTAATATTATGGTTGTACTGCACATATGGTATAACAAGAAGTTTAATTGATCAAAATTTTTGTTTTAAATAAAATATTTATAATTTCTTTTACTTATCCTTCATTTAAGGTAGAAAATAATATTAATGTATTACAAAAATTAACCTCACACAATTTACTTGTTTTTGTTCTGTGATTAAAAAAAATATATTCTTAGTTATCATTGCCCGAATTCGATAGCCTCCTCATAGTTCTAAATATGAAAACTTTTTTAGATCAAACTTAAAAGTTTGTAGATATTAGTTTGTATCGTGTAGAATTTAAAGAATGTGCAACAAAATAATTCTAAAATAAAGATATAAACAGGAAAAATATAATTCATTGTCTACCCATGAATTGAGTAAATCAAAATTTATTATAGTTCTTGCTAGTTTATTTTTTCTTAACTATATCAGGTTTTGTTATTGTTAAAAATACTATTTTGTTTATCTCTCCTGTACAGGATAATGAATATGTTTTTCTGTGTTCTGGTTCATGTCTTTTTATAGTGTCAAATCTATTATATATACATTCACAGTAAGCACCAAGGATCAACAATAAGGATTTTTCATATTCACTTTTGTCATAATCATTTGTTAATATTCAATAAATGAAAAAAAAAATGTACAATTCATCTTATTATAAGTTGATGAAGTACAACTTGATTTGTAGGAACCAGTGGTAAACTCAGAAATATCGCAGGATATCTTGCCCGACACGAGAGATTTAGAGACCATCGTACAGGATGTGACGCGGAAAGAGATGCTTCTTGAAGCTTCACTAGGTATTTCCTTTGTGACTTTATCATTTCACTATTTAATGCTCTTTGAAAATTTAACAATTAACAGTCAAATGACCATATCTTCAAATTGTACCTATTAATTTAAGAAATATTCATGACTTCTTGATTTATTTTTAGTTCATACATTGATATTTTTCTTAAATATAAAATCTTTTCTAATTATATTGTTTAAACCAGTTTACGCGGTTGGGTTTCTTGGATAATCTCGGTTTGGCTTGAAACTTATCTCTTTCTTCTTTATTTTGTTATGTAGCAAGACCAAATTGTTTCATGTTGGAGAATTTTGATTTAACTACAACTTGTTTCCCCTTGTGAACAGGGAAAATTATATTATAAACATGATCTATAGTCACCCATTTGTCTATTGAGTTATTGTCATTATTAGTCCTTGCTTCATAATTTTCTTTTTAACATCAAAATATATGGTTGGACCCAGTTAATATGAGTTCTAAATCAATGTAAAAAGTTTTTAATAACTTTGTACCTGAAGTATCAATTTTTATTTTTATTAAAAATATTACTCTAAGCATTTCATTACATTTAATAAGAATTAAGTTCAAAAGAGTTTAATTTAAAAAGACACTGTTGTATGGTACACTACCTGAATATTTAAAGAATTGTGTTTTTGAATAATTAAAATTATATTAAATTGGTGTGTATATTATATATTATAGTTAATTAATGTAATTAATTATAACATATTCTCTTTTTAATATCTCTGTTGTAGATAAGCTCTTGATAAAATACATTATTTATTTGTGAATCTTTTCATTTAATTATTTTTTGTCTATTTTATTTTTATATCATCAATAATTACAAATGTCATTAAAATTATTTTTTCTCTCTAGAAAATTTAATGGTCAATCTTCATCCTCTTGAATCATCTTGTGAAACTGTTGATTCATTTTGTAAAAAAGAAATTTTCAAAAGTTCAGCCGACTTAACTGATCCTGTTCCTAACTCAGAGAAAGAAATTAATGTGAATACTGTTGAAGTACATTTAAATTTGCCAAAAGAAGAAATAGCTGTTATTTCAAAGGAAATTGGCAGTCTTACTACAGAGAGCAATTTACAGGAACCAGAATCTGACAAAGTGAACAATATTGATGACACAAACTCATCTAAAATAAACCAAAAAATTCATGAAGAATCCAAAAATGCAATTTGTGAAGAAGATATAAAATCTGAAAGTAATGAAAATAATATTCTTGTTGAAGACATAAAATTATTAAATAGTCAAGATATTGATAAAGTTTCTGGTGATAATTGTGATGACATTTGTGAAGAAATAGATAAAATTATTTTTCCTCTCACTATTTCAGATTCAAGTAAGAGTATTTTTCACTTTTGAATCCATTTATGTAATTTGTTTATATTTATAACTGATTGGTTTAGGTATTTATGCGGGGTGGTGTACCCTCAATTGCCCTGACCATTCTGCTTTCCTGTCTCCCAGGGAAGGAGGGATTATTTTATGTAGTCCTAAATTTGATGTGTATTACACAAATGAAGATCATTGGGCTCTGTTAAAATATAAAGCACAAATTGTTATTGTATCAACTTCTGGCCACATTGGTGTTAGGATCCACTGTGCTATAGCTCAGTATTCAGGTAAAATTGTTGTCTATGTCTTCAATGGTTCTATTTTTGTAAAAAAGTTAAAATTACAGTTCACTTTATTTTTGTAGATGATTGGAAAGGCACCAGAAATTGGGAAATGCTGTGTAGAGATGTACAACATGTGGCTGTTACTGATGAGGAAATATGGTTTGTTTCAAGAGGTGATTTGTTTTATTTGTCAGTCAAAGACAAAAAAGTTCATACTGTTCCTTGTGAAGCAAAGTTATCTAAAATCTATACATATGGCACTGTAAGCTGCACATTTCTTGTATTTTAAATTATTTTTCATTTAGATATAAATAAAGTTCTTTTATTAGTTTTAAAAGGCAAAATTTCTACAGCTCCTATTCTGATCTTATTTTGCAATATTATGATAGCATTAAATATCTCCTCTCTCTCCCTCCCCACGTCCAGAGAAATTATTGACAACACTTTAGGAGTTTGTTGCTAAAACAATGCTGAATGAATTAAAAAATATATTTTTCAACACTTTTTAGCAACTCAATAAATTAAAAAAAAAGTTTTTGAAAAAATTTCAGAGTTACATGATTTTTAAAATGAATGGCAAACATCAAATTAAATTCCAAACCAACTTGTTATACTTTTGCGAGCTGGAAATTGGTTATCCTCCAAAATCTAAATTTTTTCTTGAATTTTAAGTTTTACCTTTCTAAATTAATTCTATTCTGTACCTTCCAGTTTTTAAAATATATTTATTTTTTGTAAAGTAGTCTAAAATCAATTATCCTAAAAAATAAAATGTAGGCATAGAGTTCAGTGTATTCAGGTATTTGGAAAACACATCAGTTCTGACTATTCATCAAGGATTGTTTGTTAGATATATTGAGCCACTATTGGTCTCATTTGATGCCAAATCTAATTCTCTATTATGTTATTTACAATCCATTTGTTGGTACAATGAATCTTTTCTTCATTACTTACCAAAAATTGTTGAAAAATATATTTTTTATGTTTTTAGTCTGAAAACTAGTAGACTTCATTTTCTGCCCATTGTTCAGAGGAACATTTATGTTCAGTGCTGCTATAAAATCCCTAAGGGTTTTTCTTTTAATTTTTTATTTAATATTGTTATATTTTATCGGTACCTATTCTTAATTTTGCTAAATTTCAAATTAATTAATAGTTGGATAATATATATATATATATATATATATATATATATATATATATATATATATATTTTTTTTTTTTTTTTTCTATTCCGAAGTCATTGGTCATTCAACCATCCGATATCTTGCTGCCCAGTATAAGTTTTTCTTTAATATATATTAATTTCCAAATGTTTTATTTCTTATGTCCATCAAAGCAGAACATGTGTCTAGGTGGTCTGCATCCATTTTTGCTTGATCACATGATTTACATCTAAGATCCTCAACCACGCCTATCTTGTTGAGATGACTTTGTAGATAATCGTGACCAGTGGCCTTGCGGAAGCAGGCTACTGCATCTCTTCTTGGTAGGTCAGCTGGGATCGGGTTTTCCATCAAAAATTTATAACGTCTCCCTTCCACCTTGTCTCTGTGTTTTTTTTTATTTTCTTCACTATCATCCTCACCATTTGCCAAATTGAATCGTAAGATTTTGGATGGACTGATTGTGGCAATTCTTCTCCTCTCGTGGCGAGACTATCTGCTTACTCATTTCCTGGAATCCCGCAATGGCTCGAAATCCACTGTAGGACCACATTGGTGCCTTGGAGTGTTAGGTCATAGAGGAGGGATTTGTACTCCAAGATAGCACTCGATAGACATTCATTCATGTCAGTAATAGCGAGGATTGCTGCTGGAGAGTCGATGAAGAGAACAGTGCTCTGAACTAGCCTTCCTGATAGTGTTCTTAGGGCTATGAGGATCACTGCTATCTCACCATCAAAATTCGTACAATCCTCACCCACCGCAGCACTGAACTGAAACTCTCTCGAATAAATCCCTTCCCCATCATTTTTGATCGCTGATTCTGCTGATCCATCGATATAAATGTGAAGCCAATCCTGAGGAGGATACTTTTGAGCTATAGTTTCTAGACTAGAGCGTTTAGCTCATAGTCTGGTGCTTCTTTTTTTATCCACCTTATGGATGAGTTGCAGCTCTACCTTGCTTGCGTGATTGTGGATTGAGAACTGTTCCTCCATAAATGGTTCCCTTTCTTCACAGTCAAGCCCCCTTTCTTCAAGCAAAGCCTTCGCCTTTAGCATGAATAATTCTTGTGTCTTTAGCCGTTGAGTTAGGATTTTGTATTTTTTTCCAAAACTCTAGGTCCATTCTTCTCATCCGCTCCTGAAGACATATTGTAACTTGCTCATGCCATTTCGAAAGGAGTTCTGCTGTGGTCTGCAGTTCAATAGGTGCAACAGGAGTTGAGCGTGGTGCATCCGAATTTAAACATAGTGCTTTGTTCTGCTGGATGTCCAGTCTTTTCAGGGATGCATTAGCCGCAGTACAGACGACCTCAGAACCGTATTCCAGTACTGGGCGTAGATAGATTTTATATGCAAGACCCATCACATCCTGGGTAGGCCCCCAGTCTTTCCTCCAAGGTGTTTTAGAAGCTTAATCCTGTTTTCTCCCTTTTCCACCATATCTTAAATTTGCCTGCATAGGTTCTTTGTAAGGGTACATTATTATAAATGATTTCCAGCTCGTGCACTTTAGTTGATAACGTGAACAGTTGAAAGTCAGTTTTCTGGGTGTTCTCTTCCATTTCATATGATTTGGTCCGAGTCATTGCCTCATTAATTACTGCTTTGAGTGCTATTATGTTGCTACTGGTTGCATATATTAGTAGATCATCAGCAAACAATAGAGCAGATATTCCCTCGAGCACAGCCACTAAGTCATTTATCATTATCTTAAAGAGTGTGGGGCTCAAAACAGATCCTTGGGGAAGTCCCTGGATAAAAGATCTGAAGGTTGAAAACCATCATTGTATCTTACTCTGAGAAATCTCTGGACCAAGCAGGACCGTATGGCTCTGTAAATTTATCCACTTATATTTTTGAGGAGCTTTTTCAGGACTTTCTGTCAGACTTAATCGAAAGCAGCTTTAAAATCATCATATACTGCAAGTGTATGTAGTTTCTGTTGGAATCCATCTTTTACATCTTCACTAAAAGGAGCCACTTGCTCAATTGTACATAGGTGCATTTGGAAACCTGCCTGCTTTGATGTCATATTATTTTCGATATGATAATATGTTAATTTTTCGAGTTAAAAATGTGTGAATATTGAATTAATTATTTCAGGTAATATATGCAATTACAATACATGGGTTAGTATTGAAATTTGAAAATGATCAATGGCAGTATATAAAAGGAATAAAAAATTGTAGATCAATGTGCATCGGACCCAACAATCTTATTTGGTTTATCGATTCAGGAAATGGTCTTTTCATCACTGACTCAGTAAAAGATAATAAAGCAATCTGCTGGCAGGTAATGAGTTTTTATTAGTTGTTCTCATGATTTCATATTGGAATTTGTAAAAAAAAATTCTTTCTCAGATAATTATAAATATTCTCAGGTATCAGTTACTGGTTCCAAAGACAAAGAAATAACCTGTATTTGTTCAAATAGTGAGGCAATTTATACCTTGATAACTGGTAATAATATCCCATCCATACTTTTTAACAAAACTTATGTCACAGGTAACTTTTTTAATTAGAATTTTTTTTAATTGTTAAATTATTTATATTTATATTCAATAAATATGCGAATAGCTATTTTTATAATGGCACATAAAATAATGTTAATATGGTAATTCTTTTATAAATCCAATTTTTGTGAATGAGTTGTATTATTTTTTTTTTAAATGACAGACTATCATAATTGAATGACCAACTGGATAAAGGTTATAAGTGTCAATTTTGGAAAAATGTAATTGTTGCTAAGGATAAAGGTGCAAAGTTATGTATTATTAATATTTTCTCCTCCTATTTACATAAATTCAATAGTTGTCTTGGAACCAAGATGAAGATGCCAAGTGATGATACAAATCTGCCTTAAAAAGGATAAAGATGATTTGAATTCAGTTTTCTCTGAACTCAAAAGATGTTATTATCACCTCCGTCCATTTTACCTTACCCTTCAATTGTTTTTCAATAACTTATAAAAAATCTTCAATAAATTCTTAACAACGATATCATTTTTTAAAGTAAATTGTATGATATTTTCTTCAAGTGTTCTGAAATCTTAAAAGTATTAATATAATTCAAGGATTTTAATTATAAAACCTGTTAGTCAAAGAAAATTATCCAAGTACTGAATAATGAAATTTCGACATTTCATTTCTTGCAAGTCTGTTGAATTGGCATACATCCAAATCATTAAATAATGCATTTCTATAATGGTCCTCCTCCAATTTTGTGGCATTTCTTGATCATCTTCGAATATGTGTCGTAGAATCTTCCTTTTGAATCTGAGAAGGAATCTTCCTAGAGCTTTGGTTAGGGTCCAACTCTTGCAGCCCTATATGAGTACTGGCCTGATGAGTGTCTTATAGATTCTTGTTTAAGTCTGCATCGACAATAAACTTCTACAATGAGCATTTGGAAGGGAAAATAGCGCCAATTAGCCATTGCTACTCTCTTATCTACCTCACAATCTATGATCTTGTAAATTTACTAGTGAACCTAGATAGATAAACTCATCAACTTTCTAAATTTCATTCGGTCCCAACTTGGTTCTCCTGTGCTAAACAAGAAAGCTCTGCACACATATATTACATCTTGGGGATGTTAAACCCGTTTGACTGCAACTTTTAATCGCTATGAAATATCTTACATCTTATAAGTACATTATATCATAAGATATGATGCCATACTAAATATACTGTGCCATAATTCTCTGTCGTACTGAAATGTGATATCTAATGGAGAGTTTAGAGAACTATCAATAATATACTTTTATTTTATGATTCAGTCATCTTAGAAAATATTATATGATGAAAATCTGAGTGTTTTTCAAAAATTAGATTGTATTAGCCTTATATGATTATATTACTGTTTCCATTCATGCTTACAATGTCAAGCTATCTGCCAGCAAAAATGATAATTGAACAGGGCTAAATGAACTAATGAATTGGATAATCAGAATAAATTATTTTACAGCATTCTCATAGTTCCAAAATAATATAGTCAATTTTAGTTAACAAAACCAGAAATAAATAGAGAGCAGCCAGAAGAAAACTTTAGAACTTTTCAAATGTTGTTCAAACTCTCAAGCCATATTTGATAATAACCAATGAAAGAGTGCCAGTTTCTACCATAGTGGTCTACAAATTATTATATAAACTACATCCAATTTGAAAACTTTTTTTTTAATTTTCAAAAATATTTAGTAATGTAATTATAAAGTTTGTAACAGATATTTTTAGTTTTAATTTGATTGGAATAATTTTTTCTGGCAATAAATTTATATGTGATTTAATTTTATCTATGATAAAGTTGTGATATTTGTTAGTATGTTGTAAACCTACTTGTATTCATGACCGAGAGGAACTTATACTCGGATGATTTTATATATATTTTGCTCTACATAGATTGATCTCTGGTTTGTATTAGTAGTAATATTAAGTTAATTAAGTTCTAATAGAAATAGAGAAAGAAGAAGTTTATTCTAACTACTCTTAAAGACTTATGATTTTTTCCCATTGATTTTACTGTTTGATTTCCAATGTTTCTTTACTTTTTTAAGGTCATATATGGTCTTCTGCTGGATTAAATTTGGAATGTTTTCAAATCGCAGCTGCTGGTATTTTTGAAGAGAAAGGTTGTGTCTGGGTCGTTGACACAACCAATAAACTTATAGCCCTTGATAGTTCTCTTATTATTTTAGAGGTTGGTTTATAATTCAATATTTTTATATTTGACAGAGGAGGTATTATTTTATCTCATTTCCATTCATGTTATTCATACAAATCATTACATTTGTTTTAATCACAAATTTGTTTATTTTTACTATTATTTCATTTTTCTCATTGTTCTATTTTATTTTTCTCAGTTTTATTTGCTTGTAGTTGTAATCAATGTTATTTTCAGTAATTTACTGTTTTATATAACTATCAGATTAGGATGTTAGTGCTTTAAGATAAAGTAAGAATTGATTTTATTTAAATGTTAAAGATTTTATTTTATTTTATGCAATGAATCTAATTATTCTTTACGCTTTTCTAATTTTGATAAATTTATTCTTTATTTTAGGAGGTTGATACTCCCTGTAACATTGTTTGTATAGCTAGTTCCCCCGAGGCATTATGGCTTCTAGCAGACGATGGTAGTGTTTATTTAAGACAAGGTATTTCAAATACTTATTCATATTATAATCCAGTTGGGAAAAAATGGCGGAAGTTAAATATGGAACAATTGCGTATGTTAAAGTATCTATTGTAAGCACGGTTGCCACTTGGACTGCCTCCCTCCAGTCTTAGCCATTTTAAAGTGTAAATATGACTAAATAGGTAATGATTTCATACACTTTACCTCACCGCCTTGACCCACATTTTAAACATTAATGTAGCTTTTCAAAAATTTTAAAGGCAGATCTTCTGGGTGGAGATGGTCCAAGTGAGCTCTGTGCTTAAGATTTATTGAGATTACTATGACTTTTAGGTTATTACTTAAAATAATTATTTTTCAGATTCTCAAGTTGAACTTGTATCACTGTCTTGTGGTCCCGATGCTGTTTGGGCATGTGACATTAGAGGAAAAGTTGTTATGGTTGTTGGTTCTCCTCATCACATTGCAGAAGATACATTTATACCTGTGTGGGTGGGTGTTGATGGAAAGCCAATAGAGAATAATACATTCACCAAGGTACTATATTTTATACAGGAATGTTTAATAAAGTTAGAATCGATAATTATTTATCCGAAAAGTTTGAGATTCATTCAGGTTTAAAACAAGGTGATTTCATTTTACCTTTCCTGTTTAATTTGGCATTAGAACATGCCATTAGAGAGGTAATGCATACCAAAAAAGAGTTGAATCTGGGCCGGATAACACCCGTGCTTGGCTATGCGAATGATTTGGTCTTCTTAAGTGAAGATGCGAAAACTATAGAACTAAATTCAACACTGTTAATGAAAGCTAGTAAAGAACTAGGACTCGAAGTAAACCCGAATCAGACAAAATATATGATTAGCTGCAAAAATAGTGATAATTCCGGTGATGTCGGTATAGGAGGTAATATGTTATTACTTCCTATATTATCAAACATATATATTTATATATATGTTTGAACACGTAGAGAAGTTTAGATATCTAGGGTCTACAATAACTAGAAAACATGAAATTGAAGAGGAGATTGAGGTTAGGCTGAAGGTGGGAAATGCTTGTTATTTTTCTGTGACAAAATTACTTAGCTTGTGCCTCCTGTCCTGAAACTTAAAAATTAGAACCTATAAAACCATTATCCTATCTAAGGTTCTTTATGGATGCGAAACATGGCCACTTACATCAAGGGATAAGTAACGTCTTAAGATATTTGAAAATAAAGTATTGCATAGAATATTTGGACCGAAGAAGGATGAGTTAGCCAGAGAGTTTAGAATGCCGAATTGCATGAATTGTATCCGATTAATGTAATTGAGGTGATTACCTGGTGGCAAATTAAATGGGCTTTGTAACGAAGGAAGTCCTAAAAGGTTAATATTTGCTGTGGTGACTGGTCAATATCTGATGGGTAGACCGAACCAAAGGTAAGAAGAGTGCGTTAAGGTGGATCTGAAGATACTGGGATCGCATGACAACTGGTGGAGGGAAGTGTATAAACAGCAATTGGTGGTGATGGCAGTGAACCTATTAATTATTTATTAATATTAATATTATTACTATCTTTTATAATGCAGATTAATTGTGGGCGGGGTGTCTGAATGGACTAAAGCGTGTGCACAGCACCACGAGTTGCCCGGCAACCAGATATATGAAGTTTTGAGACAAGAAAAGTACGAGTTCGCGTCCCGGTGCCAGAGGGGATTTTAAGTTCCCCGCCCTCACCCTCCGGCCTGAGAAAATCCTGTATAGCCTAAACGGCGAGGTAGGGGGAAAAAAAAATGCAGATTAATCTCAGTAACCTGAACATATTGCTCCAGGGAGGTTTTATGATTACCAAAATGTTAGGATACTAGGTGTAATGTGATACTAGGTAAAAAAAAATCAAACCATTAATATTTTTCTTGAGCCCTAGGAGCAGGGAAACAAAAATATTTTATAAAATTATAACATTTTTTTTATATTATTGTTTCTGTCTTTGCCGCGCATGAATCTTTAGGTCATAATATATCAATCGATTTATCTTTTTATGTAAAACCATAAAAACATATTGCTCATTGTATTAAATGAAATCTGATGTATAACACCCAACGGGTATCAAAAATAAGATTACTTGCTTAAAACCTGATATGTTGTCCAGATTCGATCCGAAATTTAAAATAAAACATATAATGTACTTATTATACATGATATAGACAAGTCCCATTAAATATTTTTTTATGGATTAACAAAGTTGATAATCATTTTTTGGACCTAGAAAAACTCTTAAAGCAGAATTTTCATTGCTATCAAAAAATTAATTTTTTCTCCATATTTTGTCTTTTATAATGATGGAGTCTGGATGTGTGTATCATATATAATATGTAGATTATATGTTTTATTTTAATTTTGGACTGAATCTGAACAACATATCAAGTTTTGTAGTGAAGATTTATATTATTCACCTCAAAAACTCTAAAATATGAAGTTTCTTGGCAATATTAAAATAAAAATCTATCACAGGAAAGACAAAAAAAATACTATTAAAAAATCATTAAAATTTTATTTAAAAAATTTTCTCGGATCGTAGGGCACATTGGCAAGAACCCTCAGACATGGGTCTAATATTTTTCAACCTAGTATCACCAAAAGAAGTTTCATTGAAATTGTTGAACCCATATCTGTAACCTCTCCTTGTCAATATAAAAGATTAAAAATAAAAAAATACATAAAACTTAGGTAACTGGATTCATATTTTTATACTAATTTGAAAACACTGAATTCATACCTATAAAAATGAATGTTTTTTTTTAACTATTAAAACTTAAGTGTTTGGTTTCATTGGCATTAGTTTTGCTTGTGCTACAGCTTAGTGAATATGTCAAATGATAAAGTGTATTTTCGGCATATTTTGCTTTTTTATTTCAATAAAAGGCAAGAGTAATGGTAAAATATAAGCATGTTTTATAGAAAAAAATTATCTTTTAATATATTATTACTCATGTAATTAAATTTAATATGACTTCAATAATTACTAAAACACCATTAGTTATTATTTTTCTTTTTTTTTCCTGAAGTAATGTATATAAGTAAATAAGTATTATACTTATATAAATGAAAAAAAAAGCTTTCACACTGAAGCCTCCCCCAAAATTAAATCCTGTATCCGCTAGTGCTGCAAGAAGGGGTATCCTCCTTAGTTATTAATATTTTCCACAAAATTATTTTCTCAGATAGAAGTATTAAGTAAACAACAAGTCATTGGTCATAATAATCTTAGCTTAAATGATATAATCTTTTTATCATTAAAAAATAAAAAAAAAATCTTGAATTTATTTATTTGTTTTTAAGGTATATGTTGGTCCTGAAACTTATATGGTCTGGGCTTTGGATAATGCAGGAAACATTTACGTCCGAGAGGGAATTTTCCCTTATCATCCTGTTGGAACTGGGTGGGTTCATGTTCCAGATATTAAAGCTTCACATCTCACAATAAGGTATAAAATGGTTTATCTTAAAATTTATGTTTTTTATAGGTTGATGATATAAATGTATAGAATTTTTAATTTAAATTTTTTTCTAAAGAAGCTCAAGTTGTTTTTTAAGCTTTTTTTATTGTAGATTTTCAGGTTTTTTATAGTTCATTGTAATTTTATAACGATATTGATTTCATTAACATTTTTTAATTAAATTGAATGATTAATGAAGATTACAATGAAAAGATGAAGAAGTTTACAATTAATCAAAATTGGATTGTTGGCAATAATTTAAAAAATATTAAGATGATTACACCAATAACAACTTTTATGTTATTTACAAGTTTATAGTTTTTATATCTCAAAAACAAAGGCCAATCAATAGCGTTTGTGTGTTATATTCCTCTTATATTTTATACAAAAATTAATAATTATCTTATTGTAACTTTTTGCTTCCTTCCAAACCTCAATAAGTCATATGGAGTAGGTTTTGTTTATTGAGTTTAGTTGTCTGGTGTACTACATAATTATACTCATTATAACTCAATTAAATACATTAATTAATCTTGTTATTGAATCGTCTTGTTGTATCTTTTACTGACTAATTTCTTTTTTTTATCAGTACAGTGATCTGCCATGCTTTTAGGAAGTAGTCTTATTGGCTTGTGATATTGTGCTTTCTCTGTAATTCAACATAATTTAAATTAAACAAAGCTGGATTAATGGAAAAACCACACATGTTCTATGTATTTGAAATTATTGTACTCATAACTAGTGTGAAAATTTGTTAACTTACATTTTTCACATTGCTTAGAGAAGTAGACTGATCCAGTTTATCAACCTTAATGGTATTGCTTTAAAATATTTTACAGTTCAATGTGAATTTAATGTTTTTAAATGTATTGGTTTCTAAAATCTAGAACTCATTAAATAGATACAGATGGGTGCTTGCCAGTAAAATACTTCAAAAAGAACTGCTATAAAAGTTGTTTTATTTATATTGGTTATATCAAAAATGAAGGATCATGTTGCAAAAATAATATCATGAATTCTTCCTGTCTTCAAATTTAGTTGAAAAACAAGTTTTTCTTATTGTAAATATAAGTTTATATTTCTTAATATAAGTAGTAGAATGTTAATTGTCAGTATTTGAAAAACCAATGAATGTATTCCATTGGTGGATTGTTAGTGAAGTTAATGTCTTCTTCTTCTTTCATCGGCTCTACACCCCATTAAGTTGAGTCTTGACCTGCTTTAACATTGACCACTATATATCTCTATTTAATGCTGTTATCTTCCAATTACAAATATCAAGAAGGGCTCTGGTGTCTGAAGGGGCACTTTTCTCCCACTGAAGCCATGGTATGCCTTTGCGATGAACACCAAATATTTGCTCCTGGAACACTTTGGCAGCATTATTCTCCTATCCTGTTCTCATTAAGTGTCCATACCAGCGCAACCTTCCTAGTTTGATGTGTTGGATCACATTAACCTCCTTGTACATAGCTTTCAGCTCCGCGTTTGTCCTTCTCTTCCATATACCATTCTGAAAAAATAGTCCGCACATTCTTCTGAGAACTTTTCTTTCAAAACATAGTATAGCAGCTTTTTGACATTTAATGATGGTCCATGTTTCAGAGCCATAAGTCAGTAAAGGTTGGAGAAGGGCTTTATAAATCCGTATTTTTGAGGGCTTCAATATAAGCTTAGTTTTGTAGATGTTTATATAGTCCGACTGGTTTGCGGCTACTATTCTAGTTTCGATTTCCATACCAATGTCATCCATTTCGTTCACCTGTGATTCAAGGTATATGAACTCGTCAACTTCTATTACCTACTTTTCTGTTATTGTATTTGTTACCTGACTAAACTCTATGGGATTCGCATTGAGGTATTGGGTTTTATTGTAGAGAATTCAGCAGACATCACTCCAAAAATTCTGACGAACGAAGCAATCGACCTGTGCGAGAGCCACATTGTTACTTTTCTCTTTCTATTTCAGCATATGGCAACATTCTAAGGATTAGAGATCAATGGTAAAGAACCAGGTTTTATCCATCATATAAAACAGAACTCAACAAACTGATTAGAAAACTTCACAAACAATTAGTAACATTTAAAAACGATAACTACAAGGACTACATAGACTCAATAAACAATAATAACAGATCAGTATGGACAACAACAAGATGTATACTAAATAAAAAAGACATTCAATACCCTCTCTGATGTACAGGCGACACCTGGGTAATAACAAGCTAAAGATAATGAATTCGCTAAATATCTATCACAGGTATTTGGGACAAACACGATACAAGACAATACACCCACTATCACAGTAGAATAAGAATTAACAACACCATTACCCTTATCACTTCCTCCATCAGCATTTCGTCCAAAAGAATTAAACAGACTTCCAAATAAAATGTACCTGGCTATGATCTGATTACTACCTTTATTCTTCGACACCTACCTTGAAAAGCTGTTCTCTTTGTTACACACATCTATAACTCTATCTTACGCACAACCTATTTTCCTCTCCTTTCGAAAGTTTCCACAATTAAAATGATTCCTATACCTTCAAAACCTACCACTACCCCTTCATCCTATCGTCCTATATCACTTCTTCCTATATTGGGAAAAATATTTGAAAAACTTCTCCTGAACCGTCTAACGCCTATCCTAGAAAGTCGTGAAGTGATACCAAATCACTTTGGTTTGGCTTTCATTCTTATCACTCCACTATGCAACAGTGCCATCTGATAGTAGACGCTATCTCTATTGTTTTTGAGAAAAAGGAATACTGCTCTGCTGCCTTCCTTGATATAGAGAAAGCATTTGATAGTGTCAGGCACAAGGGCCTGTTATGGAAATTAAAACCGTACTTACCTTCTACTTATTTTCTAATTCTTTAATTCTTCTTTCTTAATAGATTTTTCTCTGTTTCCGTAAATTCTTCTAACTCCTGTTTCTTCTCCCAACACATTGGCGTACCACAAGGTAGTGTTTTAAGTTCAATTCTATATTCGCTATACACCTCTGATATCCCTGAACACTCTAGCACCACCATTTATTACTTCGCTGACGGCACTGCAATTCTTTCTTCTCACAAAAATCCTACTATCGCATCAATTGTCCTTCAAAACACCTCTGTGATCTTCAAAAATGGTTCGAGAAATATAAAATTGAAATAAATAGTGGTAAATCCACCCATGTGACTTTCTCTCTTAGGAAAGCCTCATGTCCACCCATAACAATTGACAATAACCCAGTGCCTTCTAAAAAATATAGACGGTATCTCGGACTCTACTTAGACAAAAGACTTACCTGAATCATACATACTAGATTAAAAAGACAAGAACTGGCTAGACAATATAATCAACTCTCACATCTTCTTGACTGCAGATCCTCACTTAACCTAAAAAACAAGTGACTGATCTAAAGCACCATACTGAGACCACTTTGGACCTACGGAGCAGAACTTCGGGGTTCGGCAAAACAAACACACAAGTATAATACAAACAACATAAAAAATTCTATGAAAAATTGTCAACGCACCGTGGTACATTTTAAATAACACACTATACATAACGACTTAAACATCCTAACAGTGAAATCATACACGCACGACAAATACACTTCATTTCATTGTTCAATTGTAAATCATTTCAATCCACTAGTCCTGTCTGTTTCCTGCTCTCTGTTACCTGATCAAGGCAGTCTTAGAAGAAAATGGCTCAGGGACCTACTCCTACAATAATAACATAATTAAGTTAATCGAGCAAACTCATAGTTAACTCCTAAAACATCAAATTTATTAGGTGCTCTGCAGTGCAGGTGCAAATGATATAAATAAAAGGTTAAAATAAAAAAAAAAGTTTAGAAAAATATGTTTCCTATAAAATCTGTAGTAAATTATATGTTTTAAAATTTGAGCTAATTCATCTGTAAAAACTGATAATTAGTTAAAAACAAACATTATACATGTTTTTTGCATTGAATTGGTGGGTGCTGTGTACTGAACTCTGGAGAATGGGGGAGTGGTAATCCCCACTAGCCTTGCACTAAGCTAGCGTGTGGAGAATGAAATTAATGTTTATTAAACTGAAACTTGATGTAGCAGTCTAGTGCATTCCACTACACATTGCATTTCTTTGCAAGCACCCTCCAGCTCATGCATCTATTTCAGTCAACATATTAAAGTTGTGTAAATATACAAAAAGTTAATTAATGTATTGTCAGAAGAGTTTTGAAACCTTATTTGGTGCAAAAGGCATCAGACTACTATATAGCAAGGTTTATTCATAAGTTCATTCATAACTTCATTAACATCCCATTGTATTGAAGTAGACATGTATGTAGATTCTGCCTCTTAGAGCTAATAGACTTATAAGATAAAGTTATTTCCATAGCTGTTTTTTCACTAATTTTTATTTTTAGTAGATAACTTAGATATAATTTTATTTCTAGCTCTGAAGCTGTTTTTGTGCTGAATCAAGATGGAATATATAAAAGAGTTGGAATAACTCAAAGCAACTACATTGGCGATGCATGGATATATTTTCCTGTCATCTGTCTTGACTATGTCACAGGTAAATATGTATTAAACAGAAATGTTTTTTTTTTTTTGTTTTGCTTCATTTTTTTTCATTCAAAATATAGAACAGATGTCATTGGTGGCCATGCACTATCTTGCCATATATAGGTCCAAGGTATGAATGAGCTTATAGCTCTACAGTTGAAAGACAGGAACTATGAGATTTTACACATTGCTTAAAACACTGCAATTGAAAAAAAAAAGTTATATAAGATGCATTAATTTTTTATTTATTTATTTCTGTAGCATCGTTTGGAGGAGAACTATGGGGAATATGTTCCAAATCAAAAGATCTTATGAAGCACAAAAAGAAAACCTTTCCGCTGTCTAGTGACATTACAGTTGAAAATGATTTTGCTTTACTTTAAATAAATGCATTAAGTCTGGAAACACTACTTTCATTCTTTTAATTTTGTTGTTTATTTTTATTTTGTAAATTTGAATTCTTTTAAGTAAGGTATTGTTCCTTTTTAATTTGATTTATTTTTATTTGTTTTACGAATCTATGATCGTAATACATTATCATGTAAAAATACATATTGTATATCGTTGATACATTGTGATGAATTATTTTTTCACAAATATTGGTGCTAATTTAATTTTTTTTTTTTTTTTGACAATAAATGGAATAGAATTTTAGCACTCTTAACAACAATTGAATGGTAGATAGAAATGTACCAGCAGATTTTTTTTTATTTTGAGAATTTTCATTCTTGTGTTACTTCTCAGCCATCAGAAACCACAATTGTTTACATTTTTGTTTCTAATGACATCTTCATATCAAATAAAGAAATTAATGTTGAAAGTAATTAAAATTCTTTACTATATCATTTTTTAACAAAAAAAGTTGGTACATTTCTGCTTGACAACTTATAAATATCTTAATTAAAATTGTCTATTGACTATTTAAAAAAAAAAATAATATCTACATCCTAAAGAAAGAATTTATTTCCAGTAGGTATTTTTGTATGACTACATATCTTGTTTTTACCTTGTTTACATTGCTTGTTATACTAAGCTGAATCATTTTAGATACAATGTGATTCCCGTAATTATTAATGCTCAGCTTTATTACAAATCTTCCATAGCAATGATATTCCTGATAATCATTGTTGAAAAAAAATTTTTTTTTTTTTAGTTTAACAACTTATACACTAATACTAAATTAAAGAATGAAAAATTCATTTCAGGAAAAGTAAATGTTTTATTTTTTTCATGTCCATCACCGCATCTAAACAATAATGCTAGTCCTTTATCTCATTGTCAGTTTTCCTATTGATCGGTTAATTACCTTAATTAGTTGTAAGGTGTTTGTTTTTTTTTGTTTGGCATAATCACTAATTTTATTCTTTTGGTGATGAAACTTTTATGAAATCATTTTTCTTAAAGAATTATGAACCAAAGATGTTTATTTAATGGTGAAAAAATTAAAACAATATATATTATTTAGTCATAGAAAAATATTTCTTTTTGTTCAATTAGTAATTGTGATCTTATTTTTTTTTTTTTTTTTGCAACTTATTGGTATTGTAAAATTTTATTATTGTTATTTTTATTAAATATGATTTTTGTGATTAATTTGATTATTATTTCTGTGATCATGCTTTAAATTAATTTTTATTATTATGCTATAATATTTTTTTTTGTGATTTTCCTATTATGCAACGTGTTTTGTGATATAAAATTATAATGATATATACTACTTAAAAAGTTTTTATAAAAAATTATGTATTTTATTTGCCTATGTTAGCTATTTTTGTCTGTGATTATATTTACTGTTCATTTTAACACTCACAATTTGTGTATGAATGAATATATGTATATATTCTATAATGATATAAAAATGTTTTATTGCATTCCAAAAAAAATTTTTGTAAAATATGTTTAGAGTAGGAATTAAATTAAATATGTTAATTTAGTTGGAAATTTCATATTTAATGTGAATTTATTAAATATAATCTTATAGGAACTATAATTACTATAGTATTTTATAGCTTTTTTGTTTTACCATTTTTTGAACATTACCTTTTATACAATTTTCACAGAGTAAATAAACAATACTTAAGCCAATAGATGTTTTTATATTCATTATTAATAATCATATCATCCTTAATAAAATTACATGCTCTCCTTATTATCTCACTAATTAAATTATGCAATGTGATCTAAGTTCTAATAGTTCTTTGACGAATAATAGATGTCAAATATTCAACTTTAGCGTAAACCAGAAGCCTCAAAACGTTTTGGCCCATGATCCATATTGAGACCTCGACCAAGTTCCGTGGGACGCATTGAGACTTCCAACCAAACCCTGCGGACCATGGCTTGTTATGAAAAATTGTTCTATAAACGAGACTTGACGCTGTTAAATGAGCTTTCTGAAAGAAAAAAAAAAACAATACAATAAATATTGTAGTAACCTCATTTTTGAGTCATTTGCTAAATTTCACATTTTTAAATAACTTTTAAAATTTTACCTTGTAATCAAAGAAACCTTCTCGGGCCGGATGGAAGATGCTAGCCATAGTTTGGAATACCCCTGGCGTAGACACAAGGAGGAAAAAGTGTTTAGTCTTTATTTTTGTAGGTATGTAACAATTTAAAATATTACTGCATTAAATTGGTAATTTGTTCTTTATTTGTCATATCAAGATATGATTTATTTCCATGAGTAGTTTATTCCTCACCCCAAGGTCATTTTTCAAATCTCTACAACCTGGCAAGAGTAATAAGGGCTAATTGGCATTGGAAGAGAATTTTAACACAAACATTCCATACAAAACAACCCATCATACTTCAGCTGAATTGTTTTCAGAATGTCAAGTTCCAATCCAGATGGTGAGAACCAGAACTTCAGATCAATGGTTGGATTTGGATGAGAAAGAACTAACATGATAAGAAAAATTGGCGATTTGAGAGAAGAGATGATGTTTGAGTCTGAGAAAAAGAGATTAGGAAACTGGAGTAGTAGCTGTCTTTAATGGTCATAATTGGCAACAAGGAGGAGAGGAGGAGACATGCTGATCAACTGCAGAGTTAGGTAGGAATAATTGAGAAGTATTATGGAGGTGCTAGTTCATATGGGGGATGAAAGGGATCTCCAGGAACCACATTTGATTTTATTATGGATGTTATTCTGTTCAGATTATTGAATGAATAAAAACAGAAATATTACATTAGTTTCTATCCACCTTGAGGTGGATAGGGTTTTAAGCAAGGATAACATATCCCGAAGCTACTAACATATCCCATTTTACAATACCATAATAATTTTGTGAGGTTTCAATTCCAATCTTCTTTCTGATTCAAACATCAAACTCTTTCTTTGTCTTCTTATCAATTATTTATTTCTTCCTTCTCTTCTCATGGCTTCATCCAAACACCTGCGATTCTTCTGAATATTAACCCTCCACAACTTGGAGTCCCTTACTCATGAAAACATCTTACCCAATACTAAAACCCAGGATTGGAATGAAATTTAAACCTGCTCCTCTATTGATCCTATGGTAGATATCCTCACTTCTAATCTTCTCTGTATACCCATGCCCCTCTTAAAACCAATACATTCAGGGGCCTACCTGCTCCTTGGATATTTCAGATATGCAAAAGAGGTGTGAGGCAGCCCGAGACTTTAGATGATCTAGGCTTGCAGATGAATATAAAGTGTTTAGGGTACTCTGCAACATGAAGCAAACAACAATCAGTCTTCGAAATTTAATTACTTTCATGAAGCCTTCTTCTCTGCTCCCAATTCTAAATTTAAATGGCATCTACTTCGAAAACTCCCTGTTTGCAAATTTTTTTTCCTCATTATTCTTTCCAGTTTCATCTAATAAATTAAATTCCTACCATTTATACCCTAGAAAGAATAGTCCAATCCAAAATATTCAATTTCCTAGAAGGATTCAAACATCTAGTTTCCGTCCTGGCTTTTTCACACAATCTGCTTTAGATAAAATCATAAATGACGTACACACTGCCATGGACAAAAAAAAGCTATATTAATACAAACGGTCTTCTCCAAAGCGTTCGATTCCTTAGACCATTCAATCCTCTTCGCTAAATTAAAATATCTATCCTTCTCCAATAGCTCTAATCGCTCCTAGTAATCTCTCTTTTCCGATCGGACTCAAGCCGTTAGTATTCCGAGTGAACACTATCTTATATCTCCCTCCCTTCTCTGTCCTCAGGAGTAGCCGGCGTTCGAGCATTTTCCTTCTCTTTTTCAATTCCTACATCGTTCTTATTAAATCCACCACTGTTCATACTAGCTGTATGCTGATGACTCCCAAATTTATTTATCCTTTCCTCGCTCTGATTTTACTTTCACTCATCTATATATGAAATATATAGTAAGGGAAAGCATTGCGATCGTGAAGATTTTCGAATCTGAGTTTTTAACGGAAATACACATTTTGAGTCCAAACGTACATCATGAGTACATAAACGTACCCTGAGTCCAAATAACCAAGTCCCGTAAAATAAATGGGCGGGATGGCCGAACGGGCTAACGTGCACAGCACTACCGTTGCCCGGCAACCTGATATATGAGATAATGGATTTAAAATAATAACGATTTCGCGTCCCGGTGCCGGAGGAGTCTTTTAAATCCTCGCCCACACCCCCTGGCCCGGGGAAATCCAGTATAAAGGCGAGGAAGAGGAAGGCTGTTCCTTAACTTAATTTTATAGGAAGTCAGAATCAACACCTATAACACTCTTTAAAATGGGTTTATCACCATTCAATATTTTTTTACTTTCACTTACGTATATATATGTAATATCCTCGCGCGGGCTCATTACCGCGTATGGGGAGCGTCCTACGGGTGGCGGATGTGGGGATGGTCGGTGGAAATTCCTTGGAAGTTCCTCCCGGCTAAGTCCGATGGACTCGCTGACCAACAATGGGAGGGGCCCTCCAGACTTGCTGGAGGGAGGGGACCTCCAGACTTGCTGGAGGTAGGGGCCCACCAGACTTGCTGGAGGGTGTGACGTACGATTGAACGCCCTACTCACATATCTTTAGTTCACCAAACACCACAAATAGTCATGGATCTCCCTAAGGTAAAACGCTTATTATCCGGAAGTAAACTAGTCCCCCGTTCGGGTCTCCGGGTGGGGACAGCTTTAGGGGATTCATGGCGCAAGCTGAAATATAGGGATTTAAATATTGGTACGTGGAACGTAAGGAGTTTGGGTGGCTAAAATCGGTCGCGAATGACATGAATGGGTACAATTTGGATGTCGTGGCTCTGCAGAAGGTTCGCTGGCCAGGGGATGGCTCGATGAGGGAAGGAAAGTACACTATTTGGTACAGAGGAAGCGGGAATCATTGTTTGGGTACCGGGTTTCTAATTAGGAGTAGATTACTATCCGCTTTGAGAGACGTACAATTCTTTAGTAATAGAATTTCGGTAGCCACATTTCAGAGACGTTGGTTTAAAATCGCATTAATAAACATACATTGTCCGACCGAAGACAGTGACGATGAAGTCAAAAGTGAATTTTACGATAAACTCGAATGGGTTTTTGATAAACTACCGCGAAACTACATGAAAATAATTATAGGTGACGCGAACACAAAGGTAGGAAGGGAAGAAGTGTATATTCCGGCGATTGGTAAAGAAAGTTTGCACGAATATTGTAATGATAATGGGATCCGTCTGATAAACTTTGCCATCTCGAAAAACCTGATAATTAAAAGTACGACGTTTAAACATAAGGATATTCATAAATATACTTGGACATCACCCGATTCGCAAACACGAAATCAAATCGATCATGTCTTGATACAACATAGCTGGAATAATTACAACATAGAAAATAATTTCTATTCATAGTAGATCGGTAAGTGAAAGTTGTATGTTGCGCGCACCAGGTTTTTATTGATGTAAATATCGAGGTTAAATTCACGTTTCTTATCAATAGCAATAGATTTAGAGCCTCTTCATTAAATTTTTCAAGACGTACAGATAAATATGTTAGTGCATTTGAGTCGATAAACCACCAGGAGTGGTTTCTAGCTAGGAGTAATACAGTATTTCACATTTTTTTTTTCGGGGTCAAATAATTAAAGTGTTTACTAAACAATGAATGATAAATATTCTTTCAACAAGATAGATAACGAGAAAAACATTTAACTGCTTTCAGTTGTGATTTGATCCTATTATGAGATAAATGTGAATGAAATGACCCATATATAGTTTACTTCTGACATTTCAAAATAGTATTCAATTTAAGGATGAAACAAAATTGAGTGAGTTCTTGTCTCGACTTCCAAACAATAGCCCTGAGGATGACCCATATGTTTTGATAGAAACATTGGTTAACCCTTTTTTTTTTTCTTTCTCTTTGCCTTGCCTTATACGGGTTGTAGCAGCAGTATGCATATTCCACTGCTGACAGTATTGGTCTATTAATATTTTGTTAACATTAATATTTATGAGGTGTAGACTTGTTTGTGTGCAAAAACTCCACTTTTCTTTTCTTTCCTCCATTCTTCCAGATGAAGCCGGTCCTCGAAGCGGCTGCAGCTTGTCTTAGCTTCCGTCTCTCCTTCCTAGATTAATATGTGTAGGGCCTACAGCATCTTTCCACACGTATACGAACTCCCTATAATGTGGGTAATTCTCTCTGCTTATTAGCTAGGGAACATGCATTCTGTCAGTGTATATATCCCCGTCTCTCTCAGAAACTTGGCTCTTAGTGCCTCATAGGCAGTACATTAGACGACCACATGTTCGGCGATCTCCGAAACGTTGCAGTTGGGGCATTGCAGATCAATATTCTTTCCTTGTTTAACGAGCTTCACTCGGAAGCCCCCATGTCCCTTGAGGAGTTGAGACATCCCGTAATCCGGAAGGACCTTAGGGTAGCTCCCTTCGGAGTTGCCATCCATCGCCGGTTCCAGTGATCAGTTGTGTCCTCCTTGATAATTCTTTTCCATCTTCTTGGGTCTTCTTCAATTCTCATCTTTGATGTTCCGGTAGATCCGCAGAACCTTCTCTTTTCATTTTTAAGAGGTAATAGTCTTCTCGCAGGAGGAGATCGAGAGGTGTTCCCCTGCCAGTACT